GGATACTTTTGACTTGTTTTTACCCAACTGTCAAATTGCATTTTTAGCTCGTTCTACCTTGTATAAATGAGTTTTTTATTGATGTACTACGGGAGAAAAAAATTTAATTTCTTCTTTGTTATGTACTTATACAAAGCTTAAATTTAATAGCATTGTCAAATTATTGAATCAATTTCATCGTTAGTATTACTACTATTACTATGATGGTACTTATAAAAGAAATGGTAAAAATAAAAACTTAATGTTAAGCAATGAATATCTTCATTACGTGAAACATCTCATGAAAGAGGAAGGAACAGGGTATTGAACTCGCACTCTTTGGGTCCTGTCACTGGATCTGATAGTATGCGTTCAATACCCGGTTAAGGCAGTGGAGAACTTGGAGAGGAGAATTAACAGGAGATAACTGATAACTGACATACATTAAACATGGCATGTGGAACTAGAACAGTCTACCCCAGTGAGCGAAATAAAGGGTTCAGTTCAACATTCCAACCACCTGAAGAAGGCTGGAGTGTATAACAGCCGAAATGTTGTAATAAATATGGCGGCAAAGATGAGGACAATAGTCTGAATAATGTAAATAGTGTACATAATACCTCATTTCAGAAATATAGACAGATACTGAAATTGAGAATACCTTTTCATAATTGCCATCAAAGTAAAGACTCTTTGCATTTGACCTTGAGCCATACTAGGTTTAGCTTAGGGAATACCAACAATGTACATATGTAATTTTAGTCTTCTATTTTGGAATGTTAGTTAATTTCTGTTATGTCCCGGAAAGGGATATATTTGTTCAAAGTAGCAAAGTGGTTTTGGGACTACTGTAACTGAGTAGTACAATCTAACAGGTAACCGTAATGAACTGGTCCTCGTCGTAGTGGTAGGCAACAGGCGTAGTCCATGTACCTCTACATCAGCCTGTATTTATGGCTGACACCAGCCAATCATATTACTATGAGGGGGAACCCAGGTGTATGCATATTCATTACATCAATTTCAAAAGTGCATTTCTTGTTTGTTTTGTAATTGATTTTCACCTAAGAATTTTAATGATTTTTAATATTTTCTTTCAAATTAGGGGTTGTTATTGATCATGGAATATTTAAATGGGACAAAGATGAGGCTCCAATTTTAAAAGAGTGAGTATCTTTTTTTTTTCTTTTTTTTTTTTTTTGGTAAAAAAAGAAAGGCTAAAGATTATTGCAATTATGTTATCCAAAATTTGAGATTGACATATTTGTTGTGAATTTATGAGTTGCTACACCTAGTATACTATATTTTGCCAACAAATTTTATATTTGTATTGTACTGACCGTTTATATGACATCACTTTGAGTGACTTGAAATCAGTTCCCTCAAAACTGGAAAATGCCAGAATTAAAAAAAACAGTTCCAAAAATATATGCAGAAAAATTCTGGTTTGCAAACAAATATTTTTCTTAAAAATTTTCAATTCCATTTGTAATGTTTCACTGACATTATCTTTAAATTCCCACAAATGCACAGAAAGTGTTTTTTATTTGTTCACCCAAGAGCCACTCAAGGTACAAGGTTACAGAATGGGGTTGTTTTATGGATGTAAGAATTCTAGATTAAGGATATGTAGGATAGATAATAGTTGACCTTACACTTACATAAGTTAATATTCTAGTTATTGGGGAAGCATCCTCTCAGGACTGTAGCACTTGGGAAGAAACTGGATGGAACTTCCTCCTCACAAATGGAATATGAAGTGAGTGAAGATGGTTTGCCTTTGTATAGATTGCACAGAGGGTCTTAGCTGTAAAGGTCTGAACCGATGGAATTGGGAATATAGCTCATCAGAACATTTTCCATGGAAATAGCAGTAGATTGTGCTAGTGACATAGTGCCTTCATAGGCGTGGGGGGTTGTGACCCTGAGACCTCTATAAATGTGAACCTACATTTTTGTATGGATATATGGTTTTTCCCACTTGTGCATATCCTAGGTGCAGATGGGTCAACCATGTGCTTACATTTCAGGGGCCAGCCACTAAAATTGAGTCAAGCATGGATCTACACATGGTAGCTCAGAGAATATCTCTCAGGTCAACCCGTTGATGCACCTGACTTCTCTGAAAGTCAGTTAGTGCAAAGAGGTGAGTCATATTACAGTTCAAGTCCAGGTAAAAGTAAACATTTTTATAAACAGGAAACCTCTACCTTGGCACACGATTTTCCTAACATCCATTTACACATTATTATTAATTTTGGTGAGTTTTTCATCTTTTTTGTAGCTTTATTCTAAACAGAATTGTTTCTTAGTAGTAGTAGTAGCCGTCTTTTTTTTTCTTTTTTGTTTTAAGTCAGTATCACCCCAAGCAAGGTAGTAAAGCCACTAAGACATGAGTGGTTACAGAGTGTGGAAGAATTAGGAACAGAAAGATTAATAACGAGCGAAAAGAGGAATCAGGAGGACAGTAGATAGTGATTGACATTGCCTTTGAATTTCCAGTTTCATGTTTTCGAGCCAACTTTAAAGTTGGCTCAAAAGCATAAAACTGGAACGGAGTTCCACAAGCAAGAAGTGCGAGAAAAGAAACTGTTAGCATAGAATTTATGGTTACATCGAGCCAGGTCAACCATAAATTGATGAGATTTCAATGCCAATCTAATACTGCACTTAAATTCAAAAAATCTAGGTACCATAGTGAAAAGATCATCTGAACAATTACCATGAAAGTATTTATAGAGAAGACAAAGAGAGGCAATTTTACAGTGGTGGGAAGTGACTGAGGCTGAGATGCCAGAGTAGGACCAATAATATTGCTGATTCTTCTTTGGATTTTATCAAGGATCACAAAGTAAATAGCAGTGGCACCGGACCATATGTGGCAGCAAGCGTGGATGAATGGTAGACTTATAGATACATAAGATAAATTCTAGTCTTGGGTTATTGGATCTGAATTGATTTTATTAATGCACATTAACTTGAATTGATTTTTTTTTTCCCTGTTGACAAAACATTTGGTAAAAATGTTGATGAAAAGAATTGATTGTCAACACAGTTTTCTGTCTATATTTCTGAGATATGGTAATGTAATTATTTACACTATCTACATTGTTCAGACTTTTCATATTGTTGCCATATTCATGACATTTCAGCTCTGGCCTTCTTCAGGTGATTGGAATTTCAAACCTAACCCTTTATTTATTTCGTCCTCCAGGGTAGATGGTTCTAGTTCCAGGTGCCATGCCTCTTCCAGATGTCTCCGTGACCTCCCTTTATCACATGGAACTAGAATAATCTACTCTGGTAGACGAAATAAAGGGTTCAGTTTGCTATTCCAATCACCTGAAGAAGGCCCGAGCATACAATGGCTGAAATGTCATGAATATGGCAACAATATGACAAGTCTGAACAATGTAGATAGTGTAAATAATTACATTACCTTATCTCAAAAATAAAGGGAGATTACAGAGACATCTGGAAGAGGCATGGTACATGGAAGTAGAACCATCTACCCTGGTGGATGAAATAAATAAAGGGTTTGGTTTGACATTCCAATGTAATTAGAGTAAATAAAACAGTTTTCCTTTTTTTCTTTTTTTTTTTTTTTTTATTTCTACTTGATTTTAATAAAATAATTATTTTCTTTTTCCTTGCTAGCATCCAGCTGAAAATTCCAACAGGTTCATTAATTGCAGTTATTGGGATGGTGGGGTCTGGCAAGTCTTCTCTTCTCTCTGCTATCCTGGGTGAAATGGAAAAAACTGCAGGTTCCGTCAGAGTCGAGGTTGGTTTGTCATTTTTTTTCTTTGCTTCACAATATCCTCTCATTCATCAGTCATGACTTTTCTCTCTTCTTCTGGTAGGAAAAGGTATGGAACAGTGAATGTGCCGAAGTTGTTTTTAAAATAGGATACAGAAATCCTGCCAAAATTTGTAAGAAATTTAACAAATGGAAAACATTTCATTGAAAATTGATTTAATTACACATTTTGCCATTAAAGGCTTCATCAGATCTCAAAAACAAAAATGATTAAAAAAAAGAAAGAAAATTCTGAAAATGAGGAGAATTTGCCTTTAATTCGATCCAAAAAAGCTGGGAAAAACAACTTTCAACATGAACTAAGAATTATAAAGAAAAGATGCAGAAAAAATATCAATGGCTTTTTTTAAAAGTGACTCATTTTCTTTCTTCTTTAATCACAAGAAATGCCAACTCATGGAAAAAGTACAATAATTATTTAAGCATACACACAAATACACATTTCTTTCTTTCATTTTTTTGGATCTGATGAAACCTTGAATGGCAAAATGCATAATCTAATCTATTTTGAACATTTTCTATTTGTCATATATAATAAACCTACTAATATAAGTAGGCTGATGAAAGTAATTAAAGAGATAAAACAATAATAATAATGACACTATTTTTAATAATATTTATTGTATTGTTGGCCTTTTAATCAAATAGAAGCACACACACACACATATATAAACTTAGTTCGGCACCCAGTGTAGATCAAACTCCATACATAATCATAAGTCTGCCAAACTAGCTCATTAAACGTTACCTAATAGTAAAAGGCCATCTGTATACATTAAACTTTGGTTTTTAATTTTTCCAGTTTTAAATGCAAAAATTTAATCTTTGATATCTGAAGAGTGGCTGAAACCTTTGTATTTGTCTAGATATTTTAAATTTAATTTTTTTGAATAAAATAGAAATTTATTTAAAAATATTTTCTTGATTTTAGCTGAAAATAAAGCTAATTTTTCAAAAAAATGTTTATTTTTTTTTAAGGTTTTTTATTTTTCTAGCAATTTTTAAAAAAATTGATGAAATTTATATTATTTATTCAAGAAAAATATTTTTTAACTGAAGGGTTAAGAAGAATGATATAATCGTTTTTCACTCATTAATTTGGCAATGAAGAAACAACAAAGATCTTGTAAAGTTTTTAAACTTTTATTTTTTGGGATTTTCAATATAACAAGAAAGTTATTGACATTTAATATTACTTTGATGATTATTGGATAATTTATTATTTCCGGAATTGTTTTTAGGGTTCAGTTGCCTACGTACCTCAGCAGTCCTGGATTCAGAACAAGACATTACAAAACAACATTCTGTTTGGGAAACCCTTATCAAAATCTCTGTACAATAAAACCATTGAAGCCTGTGCATTGGTGGCAGATTTACAAATCTTACCTGCTGGAGATCAAACTGAAATTGGAGAAAAGGTAAGCTGTTTGTTTCGTTTCTTTTTAAAGGAAACATTAAAAATATAAGCAAAAGAATAAGTTTTTTTTGTTTGTTTTTTTTTTTTTTTTTTTTTTTTTTTTTTTTTTGTTTTTTTTTTTTTTTTTTTTTTTTTTTGTTTTTTTTTTTTTTTTGTTTTTGTTTGTTTGTTGTTTTTTTTTGTTTTTTTTTTTTTTTTTTTTTTTTTTTTTTAACAAGGCATTTACACTATAATTACCAGTTTTACTCCATCTTATTATTGTTGCAACTGATATGATCCTCTAATATCAGAAGAGTTCAAATTAGTAAAAATATATTAAGATTAATTTAAAATTACTGACACCATTTATATCGTTCATACTGTTATCCTCATCTTTATTGCCAAATTCATGACATTTTGGCCAATGTACACTCCGACTTCCTTCAGGTGGTATATGTTGAAATTTCAAACCAAACCCTTTTAGACCAGGAGCGGGGGGTTAGATTGTTCTAATTCCACATGCCATACCCTTTTTGGATATCTTAGTTTCAGTTAATTCCCTTTAGTAACATCGTGAATATGGCAATAAAGATGAGGACAAGTCTGAATGATGTAAATAGTGAAAATAGTTACGATACCTCATCTCAGAAATATAGACTGAAATTAAGGATTATTTTGCTCTTTACCTAAACCTCGAAAATATGGTTTTTTTTTGGGGGGGGGTATGTTTTATTGTTTTGTTTGTTTGTTTTTTTAATTAATCCTCCTCAGCACCTATATAAATTAAAAAAAAAAAAAAAAAGATTAAGATATAGGAAGTTCCAAAGGTATGTATGAACATTATCAGATAATCTGAACACTTGATACCAGGAATTATTTAACTGTGAAGCCTATAATTCCCCTTAACTGATTTGCATTATAAAGTTTTAATTCTTTGTATCAAAACAATATAAAAAAAAAACCACCTAAAATGTAAATAGAAGTATGAAAATAATAATAATAGTAGTAGTAGTGCTGCTGTTACAATTAAAACAATATATGTTTTTAAAATTACTAATTCATTTCAAATTGTAGGGAATCATGGCTTTCTTCAAGTTCCTTTTTGTTTATTATCCATGAATTGACCATGTTGAGTGAATTCCTATTCCCTTTGCCATAGTTTTTGAATTCAGACAAGTATTTCTCCTAGACTGGCAGTCATCTTAGGCTAGAGAGTTCAGTTAAATCTTGATATTTAACCCTTAACTAGGAGAATTGATGGATCTATGCCTCTCCCAAGAGCATTGCTGCAAAACTGAATTCAACAGTCAGTCTGAATTTTGTTGATTCCACTTTCCACTTAACAATTACACTATCCACACATCCATGAATTGGCATTACAATTTGTATTGAAGCAGTGATAGATGGAACCACCATAGCCTCTTATTTCATTCACTAGAGAGAAATTAGTTAAAATAATATGTACATTAAATTAGTCTTCCACTAACAAATCAAACTACAATAGCATCCTATTATAATTGTTCTTGTCCCTCCGTTCCTTAATTCACACAACCATTACGCCCTGCCAATACCTCATAAATAATGGATTATTCCATTTTCATTGAATGAAAAGACAAACCTTGGTTTCAATGACAAAAATGAAAGAAAGAAGTAAAGATAGTGTTTAACGGCTGTTTCAGTGAAATGGAAAAGCTTTCAATTTCAAATATTTTCATTTGTATCCCCTTACTTCTTAAAATAACGGCCAGGATTCATATTTATGATTGTTATTGTAATATCAAGCTCAAATATTTCACGATGCGATAGCGGAATTTCTACAGATATTTTATTGTTGGAGAACTCGCCATAAGCTTACTAAATTATCAACTGAAGAATTAAGATTCATCAGAAAATTCAAATAAGAAAACCACAAAATTTTCACAGCTTGAAACTAGTCTTATTAAATTTTCTTTATTTGGTGTGTACAAATATTTGTCATTATTTATTTGTGAACGACATTCATGGCAGTAATAGAGATGAATCTGTGGGATATGGCAAGCAGCAGTGTATTTGATTACAATTGACTTTGGATGTCATCACAGCTTGTGCAGTTATGTACAGAATTGTATTAACACCTTTTGATGAATGAAGATGTTTCTAGCTTTGTTTTCAAGCTGAGAATAACATTTTGATTACTTGACAAAAATTACCAAATTTAATCTCTCAAAATTCAGTGAGACTTAGAGATTTGACAAAAACTAAAAGCAAAATTAGAATCGCACGAGAAAGTGAATATGAAAAAAGAAAAGTCTTTGCCTAAGAATTTGATTTATGTTGTTGGGGGGCGGGGGATTATGTCAGAGAGATTAAGGCAAATTAGATTTTCTCTTTAATGCATTTTATTATAATTTCTATTTTTAGGGAATCAACTTGAGTGGAGGTCAAAAACAAAGAGTAAGTCTGGCCCGTGCTGTTTACCAAAATGCTGACGTCTATTTATTAGATGATCCTCTCAGTGCTGTTGACTCACATGTTGGCAAACATTTATTTGATCAAGTCATTGGAAATAAAGGAATGCTTGCAGGCAAGGTCAGTTCTTCAAGCAAACTTTTTGTTATATATTAAAGGGGGTTTTTTTTTTGTGTGTGGTTTTTTTTTTTTTTTTTTAAATATCCAAGCCATCCTTAGCTTGGGGTTGTCAAAGTGTGTATTTGTGGTTGACTCGCAGATAGGTCACACTATAATCTGGGGAGTAAACATGACCCTTTTTAAACATAAATATAACTAATATTTGTTAAATATTTTCAAATATTAACCTTTATTTCAAAATTTTGTTTACATATATCATGAGCTTTTAATCAACCCATATGTATTCATAAATCTGGTCCACCACCCTGCTGAGGATTTAAATTACATAAGATGATACTTTGGAGGCAAGCTGAAGGGCTTTGGTTCTTATTGAACGTCTGGTGGTAGTTAAACAATTATTTCTGAGATTTATGACCCAATCACAGAATTCTTTTTCAAGATTTTCGTGCAGTGATACTGTAAACCTTGCTACTCTCTTCAGTTTTGGTATTTCTTTAAGCTGATCCATTTGCTTCTTCCAGCCTCTCACCATCTTTTCTGAAATTCCAAACTCTCTTTCTGCAAATCTGTTTCCATGTTCTTCTGCATAATCCACCCACTTTCAACTTAAAACCTACTTCATAATTCTTTCTCTTACTCATGATTAGGGGTTGCAATTATTAAAACTTGTAAACTACTGGTACCAGTAAAATTTGGTTGGGGGTCGAATTTTTGTATATCAGTAAATGAGTACTTCACACTGCATAACAGTAAATGAAATTGGGATTGGTTGTAAATGCATAGTATTTACTTATTGAGTGCAGGGCTGCTCTGTTTAGATGAAAATTTGGATACCGGTAATTGCTTCAGTTCTAAGATCACTTGAAAGTGATAGTCTTTGATCGTAAATCAGATAATGGTAAATATGAGCTGTGCTGTGGGAAGAACCAATTGTATAAAATCAAAATGTAAGAAAAAATTAATTTTCTCTCTTGCTCGAACCCAAGGTACTCACCTGAATTACTGATATGCCACAGTCTTCTTCAGATTCTTTATGATGTCAAATAGATAGGTCACACCCCTGGTCTGAAATTTTGGTGAAAAAAATTTTGTCCCTTCCTTTGGGCCTTCTTTGGATATTCCGTTGTATAGGTTGTCCCTTCCCTTGGGCCTTCTTTGGATATTCCGTTGTATAGGTTGTCCCTTCCCTTGGGCCTTCTTTGGATATTCCGTTGTATAGGTTGTCCCTTCCCTTGGGCCTTCTTTGGATATTCCGTTGTATAGGTTGTTCCTTCCTTTGGGCTTTCTTTGGTTAAATATTATTCTACCAAATATATAGATGTTTACACATAAAACCCAACAGTTTTTAAACCATTTGCTTTGTGCCGGTGCATCTTTTATACCATAAAATATGGTACATTTTTTCTTATTTCTTGTTATTCATTAAAGAATTACTCCATTTTTCCAGTGTTTAACAACTTTTTTTTACCTTTGAAAATTTTTAAAAGAAAATGTCCAAAATTCTGAATCCAAAGAATTTTTTTTTCTTCAACCATTGAGGGAATTTCTACTTCCCTCCTCCAAAATGGTACAAATTTTACACTTTTTTTTTTCTTTCTTTCTTATAGACACGCATTTTGGTAACTCATGGCATTGGCTTTTTGCATCATGCTGACATGGTTGTGGTTCTCAAAAACGGACAAATAACAGAAAAAGGAACTTTTCAAGAACTTTTGGCCCATAAAGGAGCCTTTTCAGATTTCTTGCAGACATACTTAACCGAACAGATGCAGTCTGCCGATGGTTTTAATAAGTTAATGGAATCTGGTGAGTAAAGTTTCAAGCATATATTGGAGTTCAGTTTTACTATGATAATGGCTCTTATGAAAGAAGATCTAATGTCAACTATCTTTGGTCAGCTGACAAGTTAGGTCAACCATGTTATTAAGTGTTATTGTTAGAAACAATTCTAACTTGGAAGGCAAAATATTCAAATGTCATTTCAATTACAGAATGATTCCTTCATCATATCTGCAATTCTAAAAGGGAAATTATTGGAATATCTATTTTGCTGTTTATCATGTTATAATATTTTGGTCCTTGCTTTTTAATCATTCCACTCCAAGCAAGGCAATAAAGCCACTAAGATGCAAGGGAGGTTACTGATAATGAAAGAAATTAAAAAAAAAACGTTATTAAGATGAGGGGCACAATAAAAGAACAGGATTCAAGGAGGCAGAAGATGACGATTGACGTTGCATTTAAATTTTTGAAGATTGTATTTGAAAGGAAAGCAAGAAGGAAACTGAGAAAACGTTACTGAGGAGAAAGGACAATAAAAAGAACAGGATTCAAGGAGACGGAAGATGACGATTGACGCTGCATTTAAATTTTTGAAGATCGTAGTTAACATGAAAGCAAAAAGCTGGAAGAGATTTCCACAAGTGAAAAATATGGGAGAAGAAAATACTGGCATAGAACTTAAGGATGCATTTAATGATTCCAAACATTACATTGATGAGACCTAGTTGCCAATTTAGTACTACGCTTAAATTCATGAAGTCAAAGTAGCAAAGAGGAAAGTTCATCAGAACGACCAATGAAAATATTTATAGAAAAGGCACAGGGAAATTGTGTTATGGCGGTGAGAAGCTTGAGATGGCAGGGCTAATAATATTACATTCTTCTTATCAAGAATTTCTTGATATCATAGCAGAAGCACCAGACTATATGGGGCAACAGTATTCCGTGCACAGACAAATAATAGATTTATAAACATGTAGATACATTCTGACAAGAAAAAATTGTCTAGCACAGCCTGTGAACAGACTTTTCTAGCAATTGATTCAATGTAGTTGTTTCACTTCATGTCTGTGGAAAACGCAAGACCAAGATAACACCAGGAATTGCTTTTCTGGATGTTAGCATTAGCCATGTTGACGGAAGATAGAAATGCTTCTCTAAGATGATTAAAAGAGCAATTTCGACTTGAAGGCATTTAAAATTAACAAGCCATTTCTTGCCCCACTTATTGCCCAACATTATAGCCTTCTTCAGGTGTCTGTAGTCAAACCCATAGACTTATAGCCTAGTGGATTAAAGCATTGGTTATCGCCATAAAAAGGGTTTGGGGCACAATTTATTAATGGTTAATGAGTGGCATGACAAGACATTTGAAGAAATCCAGAAGATGCAACAGCCAAAATATTATTCTACTGTTCATCTTGAGGTTCTCGACAAAATCCAAAGACAGATATGCAATGTGATTGGTCTTGACTTGGGGTCTTGACTCCAGTCGCCTTCTCACAGACGTAATGTGGCTTCCCTCTGTCTTTTCTATATATATTTTCATGGCATTTGACAAGTTATTTTCACTGGTACCTCGACTGCATGAATTTAAGCGTGTATCTCGGTCCCACCCTTTTATTGTCAAAACAGTTAAATGTAACAGCCTTTTCTACTCCAACAGCTTCTTCTCTTGCACTTCCTGACAGCGGAATTCCCTTCCTCTTACTTGCTTCCCTGATAACTATAATCTTCAAAAATTGAAATGTAATGTCAATCAGCATCTTCTGTTGATCTCTGTTCTTCTTTTTATCCTCCTCTGTTCTCGCTATCCTTACTTCCCCCTCCCCTATACTCAGTCTTTTCCCTTATTTACACTCTCTGTTGCCCCTTGCGTACTAGTGGCACTACCACCTTGCTTGGGGTGAAATGCTTAAAAAAAAATAATAAAATAATGACTAAAATGAGAATGCTGGTCTGATTGGTTATAATAATAATTCCTCGTCTTAAAAATTCCGACAATATTTTCATTATTCTATACCATTTTTAAACTCTTAATTTTAATCTGTTACTTTTGGCCATACAACAGTTTCTGAAGACATGTGGCACAAGATGCAAGTTCAAGTGTTATCTGAAGCAGTTTCTCATTGTCATGGTTGTTTTTGGAAAGATAGTGAAATGTTTTCTCATTGCCTTCTCTACAGTTTTGAATTCAAAATTTTTTTTTTCTCCTAGATTGGTTGGCAACCAAAGCTAAAGAATCAAATCTTCCCTGTTATAAAATCCATAGCTTGGGGAAATAGATGGTGTCATGTCTTTCCCTGGAGCATTAGTGCAAAGTGAATGGGTACTATTTAAATTGAAATTTGAATTCTATTTACCACTCCCGTACAATCACTGAAGTTAAGCAATGTTGAGCCCAGTCAATACGTAGATGGGTAACTGCTGTAAGCTCGGATGTGTGGGTGGTGTAATGGATAATGGTTTGGAATTGTTTATCGGATAGCCGAGTTCCAATTATCCTTGGGAAAGGCATGAATCCACCTCTTCTCCCCACCCCAGCTATAGGTTAATTAATAAGACTTTTATCACTAAACCATTATATCTCAAAAAAGAAAAATAATTTTTAGAATCTAAAAATATTTTCTGGCTGTAAATAACCTGCAAAGGGTTGATAAACCATAGAAAACCAATCTATGCACGTATCATCATTAGTTCATTATCTATTTATTGCCGTCATTCATTATCTATATACCTATTGTTGTTTGTTCATTATCTATCTACTTATCACCAGCTTACAATCTAAAAATATTTTCTGGCTTTAAATAACCTGCAAAGGTAAATAAGCAGTCGTAGCCATTTGCATCGGTGTTTGTCTTTTTTGAAAAGATTTATATTGAAACAGTATTTGGAAAACATTGTTCTGAAAATCTGACTTCAGGAAGGGGGATTTCAAAGACCCCCCCCCCCCAAAAAAAACTCCCTCAACCTCAGGGAAGTACAGCAATTTTTTTTTTTTTTTTTTTTTTTTACATAGAAACAAATTTATTAATTTTTCTTTTGGCAAATGTTTTTATTTTTTCTCTTTTTTTCTCTCTCTCCTCAACAGAAGAGGACATTGTCTCTTTGATGGACACAGCTGGAATGGATGAGCTGAAAAAGTTGGTGAAATTTTCTTTCAATTGCTTCTTTCATTCTCTTATATTTGGACAAAGGTAAAAAAAGAAGAAAAAAATGACTCACTGTTTCCATTTTATAAACAGTGATACCAAAGCTTATGCTAATTTGTATCGAATACAGGGTGTTCATAAAGTCCGTGTGCAATTTAAAAAATTTATAACTTTATTTGTATTTGCGATAGAAATAATTTGTAAAAAATGTTTATAAAGTTCACTGTACCTAGTTTTAAGTATAGCTAAAATAACTAATGTGATTTCAGGCATTACTGTAAATCAGTTGGCAAATGTTTTCCATGAACTACAAAATTATATTACCCTTTGTATTGCTAATGATGGAGGACATGTGGAAACTTAACTAAAATTTCAATAAAACTTTAAAAAATATAGATTTACTTCTTTCTAATCCTTTTTACAAATTATTTCTATCACAAATACAAATAAAGTTATAAATTTTTTAAAGTGCACACGAACTTTATGGACACCCTGTATCATTCACAATGATGTATGTAGTTTCTAAATGTCTCCACTGGAAATTCTCAATTGTGTCATCTGGTGTTTAGAACCGTGTCCAGACATTTGGCCAAGTGGACATTTCACCAAAAAAGTACAAGTAAAAATAGTAACAAGCAATACTTTAAGTATTTTAATTGGCAGTATTATAAGGTAGAATAGGACTAATTACCATTGAATTTCAAGTGATTAAATTACTAAATCTAAATTTAAAGTTAAAAGTTTTCTTATTTCAATATTTGTTTATTGAAATTAGTATTTTTTAAAATATTTGAGTATATTTGGGTAAAAAGCGGCACCTAATTATTTAAATTCGTATTAAGATAAAAGCTATTTCATCCCTTTAAGATAATGATCTTTAAAACCGAAATTGAAAGATCTTTCATATCGTAAAAGCTTAAGATTTTTGCTGTAGTAAAATGTGCTTTTTCTCAAAATACTTACATCATCTTACAGTAATATTTAAAGTAAAATATATACAGAATAAATATAAAAAAAAGCCTGTCAAAAAAGATGAAAAAATATAAATGAATACAGTAAATAAATATAAATATATATAGCACATTACGATAAAGAGTGTGACATGTAATATATATTTTAGGTTAAATGTCTGTCAACCAAATGTCCGAGTACCGTTTAGATTGGTTCTAAATTTAGATTGGTGGGAAACGATGTTAAACAGAAATGTAGCTTGATACAAAGATATTTTTGGAAAAAAAAATATCAAGATCTAGTTATAAGAAGAAAACAAAATAAAATAAAACAAAGGCCAAAGAACTACTGGATCTTATGAATTTAATGGAAACATTGTGGTAAATAATTAAAAAAACTAATAGACAAAAAATAAAAACCTTTTGCCAATTCTAAATCACATGTTAGATATTACCATAATGTTAAATTTGTTGTGTGTCATCTCTGGATTGTCATTGTCTAAATGTAGAGACCCCAACATTGTATGAATAGATAGAATAATGGGGGTAGGGGATGCATACACACCCCCAAGCAACTTTTGTGACTACCTCCCCCTCCTTTTTTTCTATGGATTTTTTAGTCCTCATGCCCCCCGCCCTAGTAATCTTGCTTCTATGATATTAAATCAAATCAGGGTAGGATTTTTTATGCAACAACCCCCCCTCCCGCGACCAACCTTTATCCCAATAGGTCTTTTACTCCTCATGTATATGAAGAAGCTTGTCTTAGTACATTAGGTCTCTTGCTGGTACAATGTTTCTGACCCAAGGCAGAGTTCTGTTACCTTGACTTTTGGGTAGACAAGACATATACACTCAGGGTATCATGCCTGTGCCTTCTTTCCTGGGTTATTTGTCCCCTACATTAAGGGTGCTGGTGGTAGAAGTTTTCTGGGTTTTTGGGTGTTATCTAATCTGATAGTCAGGAAACCAAACCTTTGAGTAAACTTTGAAGGAGGCTTATCCTATTAGCAGACGATATAATACCAGGGATATTGTACTGCCATTTTATGAATGGTCCCTGAACCGTGCAGTAGTCTCCGGTAGTGAGGCCTCTAAATGCAGTGACGCAATCTGTATCTCCAGACAATTCAATCCAATGCATGCATCACCTGTGGGTGTGTCTGTCTTACTGCCCACTAGTCTTCCACCAACAAAAACACAATACAAGTATGAAATCAATTAAAAATGAACAAAATTAGCAAACCCAACCTCCCAGGCATACCATCTCCTACATCAACGTGAGGGGTCTATATTCCAACTTTCCAGAAGTTGAACACTATCTTCTTGAGTCCAAATCCAACCCCTCCTTAATTCCACTAAAGCTCATAATCCCAGGCTACTCACCCCCTAATAATCAAACACAACCACCTAAGTCGCCACAGACACTGAACTTACATCAAGGATAGGTTACCCTGTAGGAGGGATGATAAAAATTGAGGACTCTGATCTCTCATATATTTGCTTCCACATGGCATTTATCCATAGTATCACATAGTACCTATTGTATCACATTTGTCTGTGCTCTCACGACGATGGGATAGTAAAAAAAAAAAAAAAAAGTACAAATAAAATAAAAATGGCAAATATTTAAACTATACAATACTTAAGGAAAAGGGTTAAACTTAAGAACATTAATATTACCTCCTCAGTTATCCATTGAAACTGCAATCCACTGAAATAAGAAAAGAAGCCAGTCCCCACCACGGACCATTTAAAAGATAGTTCGCACAGCTGATTGGTTGATACAAACATCCAATCAGATGTGCGGAATATGTGGTCTGTCTTCGTCTAATTCTTTAAAAAGGCCAGAGTAACTGTTAGCATTTGATTGAGAGGGGGAATCGGGGATTGATCTACCCTGATTGGGTCGATTTGGTGATGGGGAGTATGATGTTGAAAGACCCAAAACTCCCTGATGAACCAAGTCAAAACATCACTGACAACCCCCCTCGGGCACCTACTTAAAAGCATATTTTTGAATTATCTAATCAAATATCTGAGAGGATTGATATTATCATCACAGAATTTCTCTCTTCTTAGCTTTTATGTCTGCAGTGACTTCAATATCTGCCACAAACAGCGGTTAGTCCACTCAAACAAAACCAATGTAGAATGCAGATACTGCAGAGACTTCTCCATCGCCTATGAACTAGCCCAGATCATTGACAAACGCACTCATGTCCCTGACATGATGAGACATCAGATGAACCCCTTCAACCACTTTCTAAAATCCTGCCCTGATAAATGCATAGCTAAAGTCACCCCCTCCAAGGCATGTCAGACAATTCTCTAGTCAGTGTCCAGATTGAAGCCAAACCAAAAGCATCCCCTGATTTGCTGTTCCATAGAACAATTTTTCACTAAACGAAGGCAGACTGGATAGCTTTCCTTTCAAGCATGAAACTGCTACCCTCATCTCTGAATGGATCCTTTCTGGAATAGTTTTATATCCCCTCCCCCAAAAATATTCCAGCAAAAACCAAACAACCAGCCTTGCTTCACTCGTGAATGCACTGCAGCCATAGCTCACCCCTAACCACTCCTTTAATATCTTGTAATAAGCGATGTACTTTGACTCTTGCTGTATTCAGAACCTGCACTTGCTGCAAAATAAGTTCTGGAAGACACAAAGTGTTAGCTATGCACAGGTGGTAAAGACCAAGAAACAAATCTAATCTCGTGAATTCTGGAAGATCACCACCCAAATGATGAACAGACGCAAAGCAGCTGTGCCCGCTATTATAAATGGCCTTTGCCTTGGACTCAGTATTTGATGACAAAGGCCATCCTCTCTCCAACTTCCCAGCTCTCACTGAGCACAATCTCAGTAATTTTTCCATTACAAGACTTATCAAAAGCCTTGAACTTCATAAAGCCATTGTCTAAGGTTGTCCTTCAGAATATTAACCAAGAATTATCCCCAATCTTAGAAAAGTTATTTAACCACTGCTTGAAGGAGAAATCCTTCCAGAGTCTTTCGAAAGTGTCAAGCGTATGCCCTGTCTTCAAGACGTGGGTGGGAGATCTTCCCCCACTTAATATAAATAGTAAAAATTGTTCCTATGTTTCTAATTATAATTTTACTCTGTCGAGCTGAAGCATTTTCTAACAAATTCTTTTATTTGGTTGAGGAATCAACAAAAATGATTCTCTAAAAATATTTCTGACTGTCCTAATTTTTCTTTTTTTTTTCTTTCTGCAGACAGTTTTCCAAGGAGAAGACCATTCACTTGTCACAAAGCACAATTTCTTTATCCTCAGAACTCCATGTAAAATCTACAACGTCATTGGCTTCCCTCGCATCCCAAAAATCAATGAAATCAAAAACAGATGACAAAGAAGCAACACCAAAAGACAAATTAATTCAGGAAGAAACTGCAATGGAAGGAAATGTAAGTTGTCTTTAAAAAAAAAAAAATTCTTCTTTTCTTTCTCTTTCTTTTTTCTTTCTTTTCTCTCTTTCTCTTTTTCTCTCTTTCTCTTTTTCTCTCTTTTCTCTTTTCTTTTCTCTCTTTTCTCTTTCTTTTCTCTTTCTTTTTCTCTTTCTTTTTTTTCTCTCTTTTCTCTCTTTTTTTTTCTCTCTTTCTTTTTCTCTCTCTCTTTCTCTTTCTCTTTTCTCTTTCTCTCTTTTCTTTTTCTCTTTTCTTTTTCTCTTTTTTCTCTCTTTCTCTCTCTTTTCTTTTTCTCTCTTTTCTCTCTTTCTCTCTTTCTCTCTTTTTCTTTTCTCTCTTTCTCTTTTTTCTCTCTCTCTTTCTCTCTTTCTCTTTTTCTCTCTTTCTCTCTTTTCTTTTCTCTCTTTCTCTTTTCTCTCTTTCTCTCTCTTTCTCTCTTTTCTCTCTTTCTCTCTCTTTCTCTCTTTTTCTCTCTTTTTTCTCTCTTTTCTCTCTTTCTTTTTTCTCTTTTCTTTTTCTTCTCTCTTTTTCTCTTTCTCTCTTTTTTTCTCTTTCTCTCTTTTCTCTCTTTTCTCTTTTCTCTTTTTCTCTCTCTTTTCTCTTTTCTCTTTTTTTCTCTTTTCTCTTTTCTCTTCTCTCTCTTTCTCTCTCTTTCTCTCTCTCTTTCTCTCTCTTTCTCTTCTCTTTCTCTCTCTCTCTCTCTCTTTCTCTCTCTTTTCTCTCTCTCTCTTTTCTCTCTTTTCTCTCTCTCTCTTTTTCTCTCTTTTCTCTCTCTCTTTTCTCTCTTTTTCTCTCTCTTTTTCTTTTCTCTTTCTCTCTTTCTCTTTTTCTCTCTTTTCTCTTTTTTCTCTTTCTCTTTTCTCTCTTTTTCTCTTTTTTCTCTTTTTTCTCTTTTTCTCTTTCTTTTTTCTCTTTTTCTCTTTTTCTCTTTCTCTTTTTTCTCTTTTTCTTTTTTTTCTCTTTTCTCTTTTTTCTCTTTTTTCTTCTCTCTTTTTTCTCTTTTTTCTCTTTTTCTTTTCTCTTTTTCTCTTTTTCTCTTTCTTTTTTTCTCTTTTTCTCTTTCTCTTTTCTTTCTCTTTTTTTCTCTTTTTTTCTCTCTTTCTCTCTTTTTTCTTTTCTCTTTTTCTCTTTTTTTTCTCTTTCTCTCTTTTTTTCTCTTTTTTTCTCTTTCTCTTTTTTTTCTCTCTCTCTTTTTTTTCTTTTTTTTTTTCTCTTTCTCTTTTTTTTTTTCTCTTTTTTTCTCTCTCTTTTTCTCTCTTTTTTTTTTTTTTCTCTCACAGTATTTTGACATACTTGATAAGCTTTTAACAAATGGATGGTTTTGGAAGAAATAACAAAAGACAACTTATTAAGATGTGTAGAATGTACGTCCTGAAGGGACATGGCACATAAAAGAAGGTTAACCCTGTACAAGGTAGAATGTTAAAGAGTAAAAGGGGAATGTGAGAAAGATATCAGTTAACCCTAGACTTGAACTGGTTAAAATTTTAGAGACTAAGGAATCATTCTCTTGGGAGTTAGTTCCACAAAGCAGCGCTCCATGGGATGAAGTTGCTTGAATGAAACTTAATCTCACCAAACAAATACAAAGGGAATGAGGGTGGTTCACTAGTGCAACAATACAATTTATCGCACATCCTTAGGAGATAAATAGATAGATACTTTTTCCTTTTAAGCCAATTTAATTACCAGATTTTCTTAGGAATCTTGTCTCCAGTCAATCTTAAGTCAATTTTATTCCCAGAGTTTTCAGGACCCCTGTCTTCTGCCACCTTTGAATTGGAAAACATAAAATTTTGTTACTGATTTTAGATAATCATAAAAGTAGACTCCTTTGTTAAACTGACCACCCATCCATTTTTTGGGTGGTCTCCTTTTCCAGAACACTGGTGGATGGATACGGGCAGTGGGACCACAGCCGGTGTCCATATAATGAATAGTCAGTGGTGGGCAGGCAGTGAAGAAGGTACTAGTGAGCAGTGAGGAATGGGCTGGCAGTCACTGAGATCAGGCAGTGAATGTAAGGGTCTTCTTTCCATTACCAGAAGTTAGTAAGATAGCAGTTCACCTCAATGAAGCCAAAGGAAGATTTGCCAGTTAAGTGAGAAATCATATTGTTTTCTTATTTCCCAATCAGTGTCTTGAAAAACATTTGTTGTTATTCTTTGTTGATCATGGCCAAGGAGACAAAGCTGTGAACATAGTTAGCCAGGGTCTATATACAACTGACCTTGGATGTCATCACACTTGTGCAGTGATGGATTTTTTTATTTATTGATTTATTTATTTTTTAAGCATTACGCCTTGAGCAAGGTGTGAAGCCACTAGGATGCAGGGGGTTGCAGAAGATTTGGAGCAAGAGCAGATAGGAATGATAGAAGAAAGGATGAGGAGGGGGATAGTGGATAGATCAAGGTAACTGGAGATGTCGATTGACATTACATTTGAATAGTTGGAGATTATAGCTCTCAGGGAAACAGTAATTGGGAAGGGTATTCCACAGGCGAGAGTTGCAAGGTATGAAGCTACTGGAGTAGAAGAGACGGCTACATTTAAGTTTTTACAGTGTAAGGGTGAGAGTGGGATGCCATGGAGTCTGGGAACCAGTAAAAGCAGCTCAGTGGAGCAATTACCATAAAAGTATTTGGAGAAAAGACAGAGAGAGGCGACAGCACGTCTGTGAGAGAGTGACTGTAGGCGAGATGCCAGAGCAGGGCCAATTATATTACATATCCGTCTCTGGATCTTGTCAAGAACTCCGAGGTAAACAGAAGGTGCCCTAGACCATATATGGCAGCAATACTCCATGCAAGGGCAAATGGTTGATTTATATATTTGAAGTATTGATTCCGGGGAGAAGAATTTCCTGGCGCGGCACAGAGAGCCAACTTTCCTCGCAGTGGACGATGCAATTCACTCAATGTATTTGTTCCATCTCAGGTCAGCAGTCAACGTGACAAGCAGAAACAGAGTTGCTCTCAAGAAGTTGACTATCAGACATTCTAATGGGGGGCAGGGAAGGATCTCTATGGTGATTAATAGAAAGTAGTTTAGTTTTCGAGGCGTTGAAGTTGACCAGCCAGTTCTTGCCCCAGTTAACAACCAATTGGAGGTCCATTTCAAGACGAGCCGCCAGGTTAGTTTTGTCACCGACACTAGATTTGTTTTTGAGGCAGGAGTAAATTGTAGCGTCGTCCGCATAAATGCTAACTTAGGAATCTATGGTGTCAGAAAGGTCGTTGATGAAAAAAAGGAAAAGAGTGGGGCCAAGGATGGAGCCTTGGGGAACACCTGCGTTTGTGGGATAGGAACTGGAGGAGAATCCGTTGAGAACGACCTTCAATTCACGGTTTGACAGGAATGATTGTATTAGGTCAAACAATCGACCTGTAATACCATAACCCTGGAGCTTGCAAAGAAGGCCGGCATGCCAAACCCTATCAAATTTTGGTCAGTCTTTGTGTTGGTCAAATGGCCTCTTTCAAGTGGTTTTTTAATATAGAGGATGGGAGATTCCTGACTAAGAATTCCCTCCTTGGTCATTTTGACAGTTTTATTGGTGGCTGGGAATGGGATGTGTGCATGTATATATATATATATATATATATATATATATATAAAGACTGTATTTTGTAATTATAATGCTCAATATCAAAAGATAGAGCATTAATAATAAATTAAATATGTATAAATTAAGTAACTAAAGTTAGTTTCTTTCTCTCTCCCCCCTCTATTACCAGGTGAAATTTTCTGTGTTCTCCACTTATGGCAAAGCAATTGGTCTGAAGTTCGTGGTGTTCACGTTGATCTTCTTTTTGTTTGTTGGAGCCCTGAATATTTACTCAAATATTTGGTTAAGTGAATGGAGCAACGACGCTTTGCTGATAGCACAGAATGGAACAATAGATACAGCACAACGTGACTTGCGTCTTGGAGTTTACGGAGCGATTGGATTAACGGAAAGTATATAATATTTTTTATCTTTAATTCTCAGATGAGACATTGGCATGAATGAATGAATCACTTTTGAAATATACGAGGCGCATCCCAGAAGTTTTGAGATTTAATTTTAGCAGAGGCAGTTATAACTGTCCGAGATAATTGTAATTTTAGTATTGCTAGATATTTAATAAGCTAACCTGCCAACTTTTTTTATTTCAAATTGATGGCTGTAGCAGCTCTTTGAACACACACTAATAAACACTGTTTGGCACTGCTGACTAGTTTGAGGTTTTTAGTCATAAAAACAATTTGGAAGCTCATTATGGAATAAAGTTTCATTTTAAATTGGGCAAAAACACAACAGAAATTTATGCTACAGTCTGCTTATGCATTAACTTGAATGAGTCATCCACTCCGCAGCTGGAGGTCCAATGACAAAGAGGCTCAAGACACAGCTTTCTACATTCAATAGAAACACTGAAGGACAGAGCTCCAGTGATGCCTTACCCTTTTGGTCCTGCCTGAATCACCTCCAAACTGCTGTTGGTTTCTCTAGAGCCAAACGCTCTCTCTCAGCCCTACAGAATCCCTCCGACTGGCTCCAGTGATGCCTTACCCTTTTGGTCCTGCCTGAATCACCTCCAAACTGCTGTTGGTTACTCTAGAACCAAACTTCAGAAATGGGGATATGCTGCTGATGATAATCCCAACTGCCAATGCAGGCAATCACAAACTATGGACCATCTTCTAGTTTACCCCAGTCTAGAAGATTCATGCACGCTTGACAACCTTGAAACCTTAACACCCCAGGAAAGGTTCTGTATACAACACTGGATGTGTGTAGTGTATCAACTCAATAATATCAAAACATGTGCAAGATTTGTGCAAAGTTTGTTCCCTGGGAGATACACAAAAGGAAAGATGTGTTAGTGACAGCAGGGAGACGGTTGAGCTCTTTACCCCCAATCCAAGAGTGCTTGATTCTCTGGTAACCTGTGACGAAAACTGGATCTAGTGTTATAATCCAGCCACCAAGAGCTAGTGTCCAATCAAAGCATCCTGACTCTTTCAGACCCAAGAAAATCAGGCAAACAAGTCCACCAGGAAGTTCATGATGATCCCTTTATTCGACAACATGTACCTGTACCTGTAATGGCATTCACCCGGGGTGGGTTGAGCCGGCTCCAATATTGGAGTTTCATGGGAATTTGGAATTCACAAGCAGTCCTCAGCCTGCATGTATAGCACATGAGATTTTGATTATAGTGGTGAAGGTTTTGTGCAGGACCATCCACACTTTTTGAAGGGACAAATACAGAGACCAGGTGCACTACTACATGCCACAAGCTCCCCAAACGGCCCTCCGCAGGTTTTGAATTCAGAGTTTTCCTTCTCCTAGACCAGTTGCCATCCAAGGCTATAGAACCCATAGCTGGAGGGAGAAGAGGATACACACCTTTCCCAAGGGTATTAGCACGTAAGTGAATGTAATGGATTCGACTGGAATTCGAACTCGGCTCTCCGATTCCTCAATCCAAGCCGCTGTCCATTACTCCACCGTGCCTCCTCATTCGGCAGCATGGGCATCATCTACATTAACTGGGTTCCTTCTGGCCAGATGGTCAACAAAGTGTAATTTGTGGAGGTTTTGAGGGAATTCAGGAAGAGATTCCGTCACAAAACATCAATGTTCTTCCAATCAGGTTGTTGGCACCAGCAGCAGGAAAATGAACTCATCCAGAATTTCGTCATAGTAAGCAGGTACTTGACATCAAAACTGTTCCTCACTCTCCCTACGGTCCAGACCCTGCACCATGTAACCTTTGGTTGGTCCCCCAATCTGAAGGAGAATGTCAGGGGCAGTCATTTTGAAGACATTGTGAAGATTAGGGAGGCTGTGATGAGAGTCCTGGGCACCTTCACTTTGGATGACTTCCATGAGGCCTTCACGAAGTGGCTAGAGCACAAGTGCTTTGAAGTAGATTAGAGTTTTGTACTCTTCTTTGAAATTAATAAATGTTTTTTCTGAAAAAGTCTCAAAACTTCTCAAATACACCTCAAATTTGTGTATAAAGAAGTCAGTCCTTGATTTTTGACCAGTTGAATCATTTTTTTGACAAATTAATTATTAATTGAATTAACTCCTGAAAGTAACCGGCTAAAACATTTAAGCAAACAAAGCATCCTATTTCACAGCAAATATGTATATTTCAAGAAACTATCAATAGCCCTACTCATCTTAAAAAGGCAAATCAATAAATTTGTAGCACACTCATCAAGTGAATTTTGATTTGAAATTTTTCCTGTAGAATGTTTATACGATTACTATTTGCCCTTGAATTACCATTGTGCATTTACGATAAGGGAAAATATGTTGAAAAATAATTGTTTAAAATAATTGCTTTTTTCTTCCTCTGGCTACAGATTTCTTGATGCACTTCCACATAAAAGTGAGATTCTATGAAGGATACAAGATTACCATTTCTTATATAAAGCTTTTCCCACAGAAACAAAGCAACTTTCAACTAAAATATTATTTCATTTTTTTCATTCATGATAGAATTTCTTTTACTTTTGCTTTTCTTTCTCTTTTTCTTTGCATTTCTCTTTTTCTTTGCATTTCTTTTCTTCTTTTCTGTTTTTCTTCTTTTCTGTTTTTCTTCTTTTTTCTATTCTGCTTTTCTGTTTTTCTTCTTTTTTCTATTCTGCTTTTCTGTTTTTCTTCTTTTCTGTTTTTCTTCTTTTCTGTTTTTCTTCTTTTCTGTTTTTCTTCTTTTCTGTTTTTCTTCTTTTCTGTTTTTTTCTTCTTTTCTTTTTTTTCTTCATTCTTCTTTTCTGTTTTCTTCTTTTTCATCTTTTTCTGTTTTTTTCTTTCTTTTTGTTTTTCTTCTTTTTCTATTTTTCTGTTTTTTTCTTTTCTTTTTCTTCTTTTTTCTATTCTGCTTTTCTGTTTCTCTTTCGTCTTTTGCTCTTGTCTTTTTCTTTTATCATTTTTCATCTTTTACTTTTCTTTCCTTTTTTTTCATTTGTATTTTTCTTTTTTTTATGCTTTTCTTTTTTACTTTTTAATATATTTTCTTTTTTTGCTTTTATAAATATTTTTCATGGCCCAAATTTAAAGCTAATCTCATTCCATCTCATTGTCACTTCCAATTGTTTTAATCTCAACATTTTTTCCTTAAAATCTTAGATACAAAATATATACACTATTCAGACAAGTGTCTTCATCTTGGTTGTTTACCATTTCTCAGCTGATGCATTCTCCAGCCATCCTCAGGTGTCTGTTGTATCCACAGAAGGCTTATCCTCTTTAATTCCCACTTGCACGAATTTGTAAATGTCAGTCACACATTGTCATCAAAAACTAAAAAAGAAACTCATCACATCTATTAAAAAGATCAGCAGGCATGTAATAATTGTGGGTTGAGAGTTCATTTGATGGAATTTGAAGGGGGATTTAATGATTCCAGGATCTTATAGATGTATGAGGAATAATTGGAGAGTATAATTGTGGTGAAAACAAAGATGGAGATTGTCATTTGAATATTGGAAAAGTAAATAAGGTGTGTTAAAAAACACTGTCTATATCTCTGAGATGAGGTATTATTTACATTATTGGGGGTGTTATACTCATTTTCATTGCCATATTCACAACATTTCAGCCTTTGTAGGCTCTAGCCTTCTTCAGGTGATTGGAATTTCAAGCTGAACCCTTTTTCATCCACCGGAGTAGATTGTTCTAGTTCCACGTGTCATGCCTCTTCTGTGTGTCTCAATTATTTTCCTTTAACTCAATTCTCCAACTTTTGGTTCACCACTGCTGTGGCCTGGTATTGAACTCACAACTCTTTGGGTCTAGTCACTGGATCTAACCAACGTCTTTATCCACTGGGCCATGTGTCCTTGTGAATATGGCAATGAAAATGAGGATGACAGTAATATAAATAATGCAATTGTTTTTAGTTGTTTCATATATTTTCTTATCTTATCTGGATTATGATGTTTGCTGTAATTATTACAAGAAATAATCATTCATAATTACAACTCATTTCTGTATCGTTTTTTTTTTTTTTTTTTCTTTTGTAAACCTAATATCTGTTAATAGACATCATAGACTTTATCCCAGTGTCCTTTAATTGGAGATGCCAGTATGGCACAGGGTTGATAGCAAACATGGAAAGAAAACTACAAAAAACAGTGAGAAGAAAGTTTTAAACATCAACTACAAGATGAAAGAATGCATGGTTGTTAGCAAAAGGGGTGAGCACAAATTACAAATTGGAGATACCAAAATCAAAACAAGTACAAAAATTATCTGAAAAGTATTTTAACAGAGGACCAAAAAATGTAACACTGAAATTTGAAGTCACAGTGAGATAGTGAAAGATGCCTTCCAGAAGCTCAGCAGTGTATTAAGAAACAGAAAAACTTAGAAAGAAGAAAAAAAAAAGAAAATACTGAACTATTATGTGATATCTGTCCTCCTATATGGCAGTGAATGCTGGACAATCTCCTCAAAGATGATGAAGAGATTTGAAGCAAGAGAAACGTGATTCTACTGAATGATACTGACAATACCATGAATCAAATATCTGAGCAACAATAAATTTTTAGAGAAAATGTTTATGTGTGAGACAAAAAAGGTTTTCTCCGTTTGTTTTCAAAATGAGAAATCCATCTTAACCAAAGTAATCTCATCAGGTTCAATGCATTATAAAAGGTAATGTGTGTGTTTTTTTTTGTTTTTTTTTTTTTCAGAATTAAATTCTCAAGAATTTTCCTCTACAGTCAAACAATTTATTTTTTATATATATATATATATATAAGTTCCGGATGTGATACACCATCCTAAATTTCTGAATTCCAGTGAGTGGGCGGGGGGGTATGTTCAGTAGTGTTTGAACCTTTAACATGGCAGACAAGAAAGTGCTAATGATTGAGACTGGATGACTTGTTCTGAAAATTATAGCATCTTGGCTAGCACTTGATACATGGCTGCTCCAAAAGTAATGCCACCTATTATGTCAACCCAAATCAGAGACAGTATAAGTTGCATTAAATGACCCCCACATGCACAACAATAACCTTCTCTTTTTTTTTTGCTCCCTTGAAAGCAGGTGAGTGTCTGTCTCACAAAATCGCATCCAACATTAAAATGTGTATGAAGTAGGGTGTTATTGAATTCTTTTATACAGATAAAATTGCATCCATTGACATTAATCAACACTTCATGAATTTTTATGATGACTAAAAAATGGATATGAGCACAAGTTTGCAGTATTTCAATATTTATAACTATGACATTGTGACAAACTATATTTAGAGCAGCCATGTACATTGGTGATTATCTGTTTAAAAAAAAAAAAAAAACTTTTTTTTTTTTTTTTTTTTTTTTTTTTTTTTTTTTTTGTTTTTTTTTTTTTTTTTTTTTTTTTTTTTTTTAGCTGAAAATTTTTCTATCCAAGAAATATCATTGTTCTCCCTGTATCTGTTGTAATTTCTGTGGGAAGTAAGAGGAGGCATTACTTTTGGAATAGGATGTCTGTATGCAAAAATAGAAAAAGGGAACAAAAATAATGTTTTGGTTATTAAGGTTGCAATGTCTGGGTTTGGTATTCAAGCCCATCTAAAAGCAAATATATCGAAAGTGTTTATGCAGCCTTGTGGGCATTGACATTTTCAACCCTGCAGCACCTTTCCCCACATGCAAAATGTTGCAGACATATCACTACTCTCTCTCTCTCATTATTTTCATGGCAAATGTTCAGACAAGCTACATTCTTTAATTCCAGGCCTTCACAGCTAGGACACACCCTGACACATTCATAGTCAACTCATCCTCATTCCCTTCGTATTCCATTTGTAAGAAGTAAGTTCCACTCAGCTACTTTCCAAGAACCACAAATTCATGGAAAGATTCCTGTGACGATGCTTCCCCAATTGCTAATCTTAATCTCTTCCAGTCTGGGGTCAACCATCCTATATATTCTTATAATCTGCACTTCTTTCTCTTACACTCATGCAAAAATCTTCATTCATTAACCTTCTACCTTGAGTGGCTCTTATGGCTTGTATTAAGTGACCATTTAGTTTAAAAAAAAAATACAAATACTAAATCTTGAGTGTTGAAGTATGACTTGGAAGATAAACACAAATTAGAACATTTGACCTTGTGGCAAAATGAGTTGGGATTTTTAATACAAATCACACAAGACTGACTTTAACCAAGTCTTACTAATGCACTTAGTCCATTTTGTAAAATGAAGTAAACATGTGCACTAAAGACACTGGTCAACCAAACTATGGTCCACTTGACGCCGTCTTGAAACTTAGAGCCAAGAATGTCTTTGATTGACTATTTGTTGCCTTTTTCTTTCAGGTTTAATGGTTGTGACAGCCGATCTCTTTCTATTTGTCGGTTGTCTTCGTGCAGCCGGTCTGCTTCATCAAAACTTGCTGCGTAATGTTCTATTTTCTCCCATGACCTTCTTTGACCAGACTCCCATCGGACGCCTTCTCAATCGTTTTGGGAAGGACGTTGAAACTATGGACTTTCAACTTGTCAAGAATATCGAGTCTTGGATTTTGTGTTTGCTGAAGGTCCTCTCCGTCCCAATTGTGGTCATGCTGACCACTCCACTCTTTGCACTTGTTTGCATACCACTGTTTGTCATTTATGCAATAGTCCAGGTTAGGGACAATTTATTTTTTATGATTGCTTTTCGTTGTGCTTGTGTCTATGCACGGGTTTTGTTTTTGTTTTGTTTTTTTACTCTCTTTCTTTTCTTTTTTTTACTGGTTACTTTTTCTTCCTTTCTCTCTCTCGACTTAATGGAAAAACACTGTTTGAGTCATGATTTAATAATAATCAGTCATTTACCTCCCTTTTAGTTAGAAACAAAATTAAGCATCTTTCATTTTGCTTTTATTTGTATTTTTCCTTGAAAATGTGGAAAAGTTTTTAATTTTAATCAGTTTATCTTCGGTCATATTTCAGTAGAAAAGTTTTAAACTATGCAAAATTCTGTGTAATAGTAACCATCACCAGAATATTTAGCCTTTGTTCCTTTGGTTATTGGCAGGGTTTTTGTGGAGAGGGTGGATGAAATTAAGTTTCTGGGTATGTGCATTGCAGAGGATCTCTCCTCAACTAGCAATACCATTGTGATAGTCAAGGTGTAGTATCAACTCTATTTACTGAGTATTCTAAAAAAAAGAAAATCTATAATTTACAAAGGGAGCTGCTGATGACATTCTAGCACTACTCTATTGAGAACGTGTTGGTGTACTCCATCAGCAGCAGGCAAGAGAGCCCTCCAAAAGGTTATAGATATTGCTCAGAAAATAATTGGCTACTCGCTGCACTCCTTGGAGGACATTTTAAATTCTCTTTGTTGTAACAGAGCAGAAATCATAATGAAAGACAGCACGCATCCAGGACTTGTTTTCTTGTGTGTGTGTGTGTGTGTGTGTGTGTGTGTGTGTGTTGGTGCACCTAGGATCTGCTGTCCAATTGTACAGTGACAGGAAGAATAAATAAATTACATATTTCAGAATCCAGAAGTAAAAATGGTAATTGATTTATAGATTCTAAAACATGTAGAAGTTGTAGTTGGAAAATGAAAAGAAATCAATGCTAAAAATTCTTACAAATTAACAAAAATATTTTTAACGATTATCCTTTGATTTTGTTTTTGTTCCAAACTCAATTGTTATATAAGCACTCTAAACTAAAATCAAAAGTACATTAACATTTTTGTCTTTGCTGGCACAAGGCCATAAATATTGTGCCCCAAATATGAATTAATTACACACGTAAATGTTTGTAATCAGTGGTTCTCAAATGGCGCCACGTGCCTCATAGGTGAAGATGATAGCAGGTGATTCGGAATGATTGAAAGACAAAGATTTAGAAACAGTTTAAAAAAATTCATATGCCAAAAATAAATATGATTTCAAAATTTAGAATATTATTATGGATAACTTGTAATTGTATGCATGAGTCCCAGTATAAATAGTTTTGAATAATTATTGACCAATTTTATCATTGTGATATTTTTGCATTATGTCAAGTATTAACAATATAGTAACTAGGATCTGCAGATTGGAGGAGAGAGTTATCAATCATAATGTTCTGACTTCATATCCGTGGTTATCTCCCTTTAACCCTTTTTTTTTTTTTATGTACTTTTTATCACATAAAATTTGGTGAGGTGCAAGCAAATTTTCATTGCAAAAAAGCACCCAAGAGAAAAAAATGTTTGGAAACCACTGCCCTAGATTATTAACCTTTACTCGACAAGTCCTCATTTACAAAGATTTAGTCTGGCACAAGGACAGGTGTAGAGTAACCATGATTATTGACATCATTATAGTGATAATAATCTGCATAACAACTGCTCCACAGTAAAATACTGATCATTTTGTCATCATTTATCTTAAAATTTTTGTCTAAGATTTGTTTCTCTTCTTTCACCTAGCATACTATGCAGCCTTCTTTAGGTGACCTTCAAAGAATTTTTTAATGTATCCTTGGTTTCATTCAACAGAGAAGTAGCCTTCTTTAACATCCATCTGTCAACCATAATCAGCTGTAACCAATAATGTACCCCTGTTGTCAGCCCTAGACAGCGGTAACCAATTATGTCACCCAGTCATTGGTCTTCAAGTTCTTTCAGACCACTGTGGATACCATTTAGCTGACTCTTCACTCAATAGCTCATGACTTGTTTTGTTGCTGGTATCATGTTGGTAGCACGGTTCCACTTGACTAAGCTGGCATTTGTTTCTTCATGACCATTCATTCCTCTGCTATGTCGTGTTTTTTTTTATCTCAGAGGGTAAGAAGACTGCTGATGAAACAAAACTGAAGTGAAGGTGATTCAACAATTTGGAGCTGCAAAAAAAAAAAAATATCCCTAGACATGATCAGTGGAATGAGAAGAATTTACTCTCATAGATTTAATAAAGGGTTCAGTTCAAAATTTTCTGAAGGTTATCTGGATAAACAAGCACCTGAAGATGGCTGGAGGGCACAACAGCTAAAATTTGACAATAACAACAAAGATGAGGAGAATAGTCCAAGTGTAAATAATTTAAATAAGACCAATATAATATTTATGTACCAATGTAACCAAGAAATTTAGTAACACATAAATTATTTGAAATAAGAGCATCTACCTGCCACATGCTTGATAGGAATTTCAAATGAAAACTAAAAATGCTGATTTTGAAGGTCAGTAATCACTTTACAATCTTCCTGGCCTCCTTTTTGACCTTGACATATTTTTTATCCTTTTTAACCTTGACGCCTTTTTGACCTTGTGCCATACGACGACTCTAAAGAGTTGATATGATGTTAAAAATGTGCCATGAAACTAAATTTAAGTTAATATCACATATGAGTATGTGATTGGGTATGGGTTATCTCCCTTGGAGATAATTTAAATTTTATCCATCTTTTGATTTAAGCTGTATTACAAGCAATAGAAAAATCATTGTGAAAAGGACTCAAATTGTATTTTTCTATTATTTTTCTCTTTTATGCATTCATTTAATGGGGGAGGCTTTTTCTATTTACTGCTTTTTGTGGGTTCCAAGAGATAACATTCTTTCTGAAAAGCTTACACTTGTTTTAAACTGACTATTTTGTAAAATTTCTGGTTACATTAACATTTTGGAAATGAAAGTAAATTTGAAAAGCATATTTGAATTTCCTTCAAAGTGAAAAAGAAAGTGGCTAAAATAGTAATGGAATTCATTGCACTTTCTTATTGGACAAAAAACACCAACTTTTTTTTTTTTTTTTTTTTTTCTTTTTTTATGTACAGCTTATGCACTGCAAAACGCAACTATTCTAAAAAGAAAAAAATAGTTTTAGTTAATCATTTGATTGAATAAACAAGAATGTGCAGTGTTGATGTAAAATGGGGGTTCATTTTGGCTCACAACTAAATTATAAACAGATCCCTCATTTATTGACACAGATCCAGTATTGTCCAAAAATTTGACAAATATGCATAAAAGAATGTTTTTCAGAATTACTTTTGCTATTTATTATTTTGTTAATATTCACTGTTGAATGTGCTTTTAAATAATGCTGGCTTTTGCCCTTTGATGTAGGCATGTTTATCAAGATTTACTGCATAACACTCTACACTAGTCATATTGGGTTGTTTAACATGAAACTGCCATCTTATTTAAATAATGAAATTCATGGGGGGGGGCATTATTTCTTCAATCAAAATATTCTCCATTTTCCTCTTTTACACTCGATATTGGCAACATTTCTGAACAAAATCTTCATTCAAAGAACCACTGAATTCATTTTTTTGTCTGTAGAAGTTCTTGTAGTCATTAAGCAGCGTGAATGTGTCTTATAAGAAAAACAAGAAGTTTTACATCTCAATGTCACACTTAAAAGGGAACGTGTGCATTCTGCTCTTGACGAAACTTAAAACTGTTAACGATTATACCTATATCTGTCAATATTTCTGAGATGAGGTATTATGTACATTATTTACATTATTCAGACTGTTGTCCTCATCTTTGTCGCTATATTTATTACAACGTTTTGGCCGTTGTACACTCCGGCCTTCTTCAGGTGGCTGGAATGTTGAACTGAACCCTTTATTTCTAGAACAGTCTACCCCAGTGAGCGAAATAAAGGGTTCAGTTCAACATTCCAACCACCTGAAGAAGGCCGGAGCGTATAACAGCCGAAATGTTGTAATATGGCGACAAAGATGAGGACAATAGTCTGAATAATGTAAATAATGATTATGCCTGTCTCTGATTTTCCTGACATTTTCAGTGTCATTCAATGGCTGATGCATTAATAAAGAAATGGATCATGTGCTAGGAAAACATTTTATTTCTTATTTCATCATCAGGAGATAACCAGGAAATATACTCACCTTTAAAAGAAGCTGTAATGTGTCAAAGCATTCCCATTTCAACAATCACTCATACTAACTTTTTAGATATAACTTTATTTCAATTGATATTTTACCTTATCTGCATCCAGCCATTGTGCTGATCTTCTATGGCTATGATATAAAATCCATTTTTCATCAAAAATGATGAGGCATTGCAGAATCAACAGACTGAAGTTCAATTTGATTAATATTGGTCTTCGTGCATCTGAGTTTTTTTGTTGTTAATTTTTGGTGAGTGGGGGGGGATCTCATTCAACTGAAATGGAATGTATTTAACAAACTTTTTGAGTCTTTAAAATTAAAAATCAAATTCTATTTGATTGATTGAAACTTGCTGACTTAATCATGTTCCACTAATGATTTCAAATTTTCAGCTTTAACCAATTATTTTAGCTGACCTCTTTCCTGATTTTAAAAACTTAAAATTACCCTTGCTGTTTTTTTAAACCTAAATTTTTTTTCTGTTCGTTCTCTGAAATCATTGTCTCCAAAGACGAAACTTCTATTTCTTCCATTATGACTCTCTTTGAATTCAATGGGGAGGGGGACAAAGAAATCTTTACTGTTTGCCTTTCATAAGTCCAAAAAGAATTAAGAAAATTAAATTTTTACTGTGCAATCAAAAAGTAATTTTTTAAAATGCTAATTAAAAATATTTTTCACTTCTTCACACATGCACACAAAATTTCTTCAGACTTAAAAGAAACATGGCAATTTCATGTTGAACCATGAAAATCCTGGCTTCAAGGTTCTGCTTTCTCTTAACTGTCATTGGCTAATTGTCTTGTTATTGTGTGTTTCTTTGCAGGTGTTTTTCAAATGGTGTCTGCTTATGTCATGGCTTTGTCAGGAATGCATGCTTCACGCCATCTGTTCTGTCGAATTCTTGCGAACACTTTGCACATGCCCATGTCATCTTTCACTGAAACTCCAGTGGGTCGCATAATGAATCACTTCATTGAGGACATAGCAGAAATTGACTACGTCCTCCCTTTCACAGTCCGTTCTTTCTCGAATGCTCTCATTACTAGTGTCTTCACTGCGTTGGTCATTATCACCAACGTCCCTTGGTTGCTTGCTATAATGCCAGTTGTTGTCCTATTGTTTTTCTTTGTTCAGGTAACGCATTCTAACAACTTGTTTTGCCAAGCCGTTTCTTTACAGCCAGACAAGATTTTTTTTTTTTTTTTTTTCATAAATATTTTGATTTTTCACAATGGGTCAGGCTGAAAACTTTTCTAAGGGATGCTGAAAAATCCTCAGCTTGACCAAGAACACTCAAAAAACAGAAACGTAAATTCCATATATTCACACCAAAGTTCAACACATTTGGTACATTGTTGCTCAATTAAACTCTACCCCCACTCACAAATTTTAATGTTTTTTTGTCATTGTTTACAGAAGCAGGTTAGACATAACTTTTCAGCACCCCCTCGTATACTGTAGATTAATTGGCCATGGTTAAATGTATGTTGTAAAGTAGTTTTACAATGGTGGCTTGTATTTCACTAAGTTGGTCCTAAAATAGGTTCGACATACAAAACGTTAGGAACTTGATATAATAGGTAATGATGCAGAGAAATCTAGTGGTGGTCGCTGATACTCTTAGTATCTGACTAACGGTCGTCTGACATCAACTAACTGACCAACTCACTCGTTACTATTACTCCTACTTATTATACGTGGGAGAGTCTATTAACTATAGAATCGGTGTGTTCCACTATAACAATGTAATTGGCAGAACTGCCCAACAAACAGAATTGACAAAGTTTGCAATAAACAATAACGAGAGAAAGAAAAGAACAGGGTCTAAATTAATGTTAAGCAAGCAAACAATAAGGTAAAAAGTTTACAAACTAAGAATAGTGCCAACACACAAAGTGGGGAGAAATACAGACAAACGATCACAGCATTTGGGCTTCAAGACAAGGAAGAAAAGATCAGAATCAGATGAAACTAAGAAGTGGCCTATCTTATTGGCTAGAAAGAAATCCCAGCATGCATCTGTGTGTTTGGTCTATAAATATGGGGAAGGGGATGTTTTTGCAGTTCTGTCAACTATTATGACATGCCAGTTCTGAATATATTGCATTAATTGTTCAGTAAATAGGATGAAATGGATTCATGCCTTTCCCTAGGATTCATTTTTAACTTGAGCATCAATATCTTCAGCCAATGCATTTAAACATTAGTTTTCTACTAAATAACCAGTGCTACTTCCTACAAATTGGAATATTTATAAAAATGACAGATTTTGGCATGATTCTGAAGAAACTTACTTTCTTTTCCTTGTTTCTAAATATTTGAAAATCTTACAAAAATACCTTCTTCTATTTGCCTGACCCCTGACCCCCAGCCTGAAAACATTATTCTAATTCACTAATTCCTGAATATGAATTTGAATTTTGATCCTTGATTCTAATTAGGCCGCAGTTATTCCTTCCTCTTTCTGGTAGCATGTAGATCAAATTTAACCATGTTAGTTTTATTGTATAAAACAGAGGTTGCCAAACTTGCTTAATGTGAGAGTCACATATGATAAAATTCTGATGTTTAAGAGCCACAAGACATGAACAAAATTTATGCAAAGGTTTTTGTTACATTTTCATATAAATATTAAGAAATGAAGTCATCGTGGCCGAGGGGTTGAGTGTGCTGGCCTTGTTCAAATTGTTGATCACACTAGATAACACACTCTTTCCCAAAAACTGTAACTAAGGTCTGCTCAGCATAGTTACAGTATAAAGCACAGAGCAGGCATCTGCAATAGGGATTGACTAGCTGCCCTAGTAGACAGGTATCCTCAAATATGAGTGGCCAGCTATTTTATATATATATATGTATATATATCACATAATTAATTCATCGAGTCTAAAAGAAACCTCAACAGAATGCAGAAAGCACTGGACGGCCATTTTGTCCTATATTTGGGACTCATCAGCAGTGTACGTCCACTACCGAGAATTGAAACCTGAACAGTTACGATAGGAGGCAAATGCACCACTGAGGCTCAATGACAAAGAGGTAATGAGTTAGACTCGATATAGCGCCACTCGATCACATATTCCATGGTGGAACTCATACGAGTTTCTCTTTACCCATAGGACTGTGCCCCGACAAGCCACGACTACTGTCCCCAAGCCGCTCCATCCAGAACATTAGAAGCTGGTTCAAGCAATGATATACAAATGATAGAAATTATATATATATATATATATATATATATATAATCTTAAATGTTTTCAAAATCTTGATTGATGATTGTTTTAAGGAGCTTAGCAAGTATATTTCTACAAGCCACATGTTAAAGGTCAAAGAGCCACATGTGACCTGCAAGCTGTGGTTTGGCCACCCTTGGTATGAAGTATTGTTAAGCATTATTATTAATAGTATTTATTTTCATGTTAAGTTTTTTAGTTGCTTTTTATCCCAACTTTACTAAAAACAGATAACAGTAGATTGTGTTTATGAAAATCTTACATGTGAATTTTATTTTGTGTTCAAATAATCTTGTGGCAATTATACTTGAAGTGTCTACATCCAAGTTATAATAAAAACATTTTCAATTATAGAAACTTAGAATGTGAAGTAACTTCAGATTAGTTTGAAGACCATATCACTTCTTTATAGGAGCCTTCCTATTTCATATAGGAATATCATTATCATCTTGTCTATGAAAACCATAATGTTTAGTAAGCATTATTTTAATTTCTGAAATGTTCTATACTTAAATTTATATCACTTTTTTTATCACTACTGTAATAATAAGCATAGCACTAATCAAATGTTTCACTAAATTACAAACTAGCTTACTAATTCCAATTAGTATTGATAAAAATTTCAGTGGCTTACAGCCATATCACATTGAAACATCAGTTCACATAAAATTACCAAAGTTAAACAATGTCAAGTCTGGTCAGTACCTAGATGGATGACTGCTTGAGAACACTGGGTGCTTTATGCTTAGATGTGCAGGTGGTGTAATGGATAACAGCTCAGGATTGAAAATCAGAGTTTGGAGTTCCAATTCCAGTTGGGTTTGTTATATTCACTTACATGCAAATATCATTGGGAAAGGCATGAATCCATCTCTCCTCCTCCCAGCTATGGATTAATTAGTTGGATTTGTATCAGTAAATCATTATTATCTCAAAAAACATTCTTACAACCAACCTAAAAATATTTTCTGGCTTTAAATAACCTGCAAAGGGTTGATAAGTTGTAAAAAAACAAATCAATGAAAAAAAAAAGCAAATTCCATATAAACAAATAATGGAAATTTGGAATAAAAGTGCTCAGACAAGGTTCCTGCTCATCTACTATTTCCACAGGAATTTCTTATTTCATGAATGTCAACAGACCTGTCGTTTTCTTGTTTTTAAAATTTTTTCTCACCTATGTTTCAACCAATGTGTGTGTGTATATATATATATATATATATATGTATGTATGTGTGGGTGTGTTTTAAGGTGTGCTCAATATCAGAGATAGTATGTAAATGTGAACATTGAGGTCAACACTCAGAGGGGACAAACTGTTTCATGCTAAATGCAATTGTCGGGCCACACCTAGACAACCAACTAAGTTGCATCTGTAAGGCACAAGCCTTTATTATATTGAAAGGCCACAAAGAAAATTTAAAAACCAACCTAATGTGCAGACTCATATACCCAAACAAAAGTGAACTGGGCAAAATAAGTAAAACAATACTAGAAAGAATTAATTCAGGAAGAAGTTAGAAGTAAACCAATGGAAAAACACATTATTGAGGTGTGGCCTGATGATTGCATTTAGTATGAAACAGTCTGTCACCTCCGAGTGTTGACTTCAATGTTCACTTTTATATATATATATATATATATATATATATATATATATTGTGTGTGTAACCTGCTTGCTGTAACATGTCTACAATTAATTTATTCCAATTTTCTACAGTTTTACTTGTGTGTGTGCTCATATAAATAGGTAGAAAATGTCACTTGTATTCACTTTTATTGAGTTGTCCATTCATTTTCTATAGATTATCAATCCATTGCAATATTTAAAACCAGAAAATATTTTTAGATTGTAAGAATTTTTTTTTGAGATAATAATGATTTAGTGATACAAGTCTTACTAATTAACCCATAGAAAGGGGAGAAGACATCGATTCGTACCTTTCCCAAGGTATTTACATGTAAGTGAATATAACAAACCCGACAGGAATTGGAACTCAGCTCTCCAATTTCCAGTTTGGGCTGTTATCCATTACAGTACCCACACATCCAAGCTTACAGCATCTGGTGTTCCCAAGCAGTTACCCATCTAGGTATTGACCAGGCTCAACGTTGCTTAAGTTTGGTGATCGTACTGGAACTGGTGTTTCAACATGATATGGTCATAAGCTGTATTCATTTTTAGAAGAGAATGTAAATAAAGATTGAAATATTCCTGCAACTATCTACAGTTCTTGTTTATTAATCAAGGTTTGGTGACTTGCAAGCGCATGTTTCTCTCTTGTGTTCTCCTCATCCTTTCAAACTTTGAATTCATCTTTGAATGCCTTCATCACAAGAATTTCCATACACATTTTAAAGTTCAATATTTTTCTCTTTTTCCTTTTTATAATAATTTAGCGTTTTTACATAGCAACTTCCCGGCAATTGAAACGTCTGGAATCAGTGAATCGCTCTCCAATATTTTCCCATTTCGGAGAGACTGTGACCGGAGTGGCTTCCATCCGAGCCTATAACAAACAAGATCAGTTCATTGCTGAATCAGAAAACAAGGTAGACAACAACAATGTCGCCTATTATCCGACTATAGTCATTAATAGGTAAGTATCTTATTTTAGGTTTGTTTCACAACACTTGTGATAATTCCCATCTTGCTACTAAATTTAATACATGGGACTCTTATATATAGGGAAGAGGTTATAGTTGTTCCAACAAGAGAGAAAAGCGTATATTTTAAAAAGAAGAGAGAAACTGCAAATGTTTTTGGTTTTAATGTGGATTTTTTTTTTTTTTTTTCAAATATATATTATATTTTATTTTCCATAATTTTACACACAGGTTTCTGGTCTTGTGACCTCCTTCAGGCAAAGCATGCATATTTCCACATTAAAATGAATTAATTTTCTTTATGATTTTTGATGTTAAACTTTTTTTTTTTGGTGGGGGGTAATAGTGACACAAATGTCTTTCTTGGACTGGTGGTAAGAAAGTTTATTTTTATATATATATATATATATATATATATTACTCACTCGACTCTCCCATCGAATTCGACATATGAGGGTCAAGCAGATCAGTTCCTAGGAAACTGACAGCCCGACACCAGCACATGAGATTTATAGCGGTGAAGGTTTTGTGCCAAACCATCCACACTTTTTGAAGGGCCAAATACAGAGACCTGGTGCACTATGTGCCACAAGGTCCCTAAACGACCCTCCGCAGGTTTTGAATTCAGAGTTGTCCTTCTCCTAGACAAGTTGCCATCCAAGGCTATAGAACCCAGTCTGTCCTACTAATTTACCCATAGCTGGAGGGAGAAGAAGAGGATTCACACCTTTCCCAAGGGTATTAGCACATAAATGAATGTAACAGATTCGACTGGAATTCAAATTCGGCTCTCCGATTCCTCAGTTTAAGCCGCTATCCATTACTACAGTGTGCCTCCTCAATATATATAAATCCATTGCTGAAGATGCTCAAAAAAAAATGGTCAGGTAATTCTATTTTTCCAGGAAGTGTTATGGGGTGAAATTTAGACAACTCATTTTTAGGATACTGTGTCTGACTCCTACTAGTCATCCTGCAAAAAAAAAAAAAAGGATTTACTTACATATCAGTTCTTTAAGGAGAAGGATAATGACCAATATTATAATTTTTCTTTTTTCTTGTGAATATACAAGAAACCTATGGTCAAAATTTCACTATTCAAGTGGAGGTAAAGTTTAATCTATGTACTTGCAAAAAACAAATTTCTTTTGACACAGTTCCCTCAGCAACTTTTTACAACTGTATTCTCCTCTTTTTCTCAAGAGTTGACAGCAAAAGCATTAAACAGTTTTATTAGATTGTTTATTTACAAAATTAATTATATATTTAGAAGTTTGAATTTGGGATCAGATATAGATTGGAATTCGACAGAATGATAAGATAAAGAATAAATTGGAAACATTTATCAATCTGACATGTTTCACTTTTATTAAAGCTTCATCAGAGAATGTGCATTTACAAGTTTATAAAAATATTGTGAACCAATTACAATGCAATATTATTTACCATATGACAAAATAATTATGAAAGCAAATTTGAAACTTTGAATAGACAAATAACTACACCCTTGTGCAAATTGAAACAACTGCTTTAGTTTCCTTTCTTTCACCATACGGTCAGTTTTAGACCCACTGGAGTGACAGGGTGTAATTAATTTCTATTTTTTCCTTAGATTAGGTCATTTGCAGTGGTGTGCAGTAATATGAATCTATTTTTGGGGTGTATGATGAAATTTGTTTGGCCTTGAAAAGTATTGCATCAGATTTTCATCACGCCCAGACAATATTGTCTTGACTGTTGATTAGTTGTCCTACGGCCATTGTCTGCAATGGATGTTACTCCAAGGAGGCATATGACAATTGTAACGCTGCTTGAACACACTGGCAATACTTACCAATGTGACACTATTTAGCTATGGTAATTGGCTAACTAATTAACCATAGAGATTAAAAACAGGAAAGACTTAAGGCGAGAAAGAGCTATATTGAAAGATAGACTGGGAGATGTTAAAAAGAAGATTTTATTTTATTTACAAAGAAAGATACTTTTCGCATGAGACAGAAAATCCATAAGAAAAAGCAAGATATGAGATTCTGTCAAAATTGATTAATGTCATGGTGAGGGAATGACATGCCAAAGGAAACAGAATTCAGAAAGAAAAACAAAGCCAGCTAACACATGGCAGTCATAAAAAAAATTTTGACTTGAGACAACCACGATACAGGCAGAGAGAATTGATATTAGTTATCTTTCAGATATATCATTTAATTTTGATTCTTGGGTCCAACAAAGGAAAATCATCTGGTATGTGTTAGAATTTGGCATGAGGAAGAAAATCGTGGAGGAAATATTATTATTACTTTTTCAAACTGTTGACATCAGGCACAGTGTCTTTGAAAATGGGCATCTGGTGATAAGAGGATTTTAAGGCATGAGAAAAATAAAGAATTTGATTCACAGGTAAACACGGACCCCCAGTTAAAAGCTGACTTCGCGGAGAAGCCTGATGTCGGGTTTTGACAGTGATTGATGAGTTGGTAGAGAGACCTAAGTGAATTTTGGGTGTCCCTGAAAGAAAGATGTGATAAGAATTATTTGGTGGTCTGGGGTTTGTGAAAAAAAATGTTTTGGCTGATTGAAAAAAGAAAAAAAGGATTTTGTAAACAAAATTCTGGATAACTTAAAGAGGGCCAGTCTAGCCACACCCACACTGCCGTGGTAGCATGGGTGATAGGTGGAGGTGAAGTCAACCCCAAACGCTGGTGGAAGAAACCTTACAGCTTCGCACCGCAACTGGGAGTTGACCACAGGCCGACAGCACAGTGTCACATATTGACGCTGCGACCACTAGAGGGTGTCACACCAATGAGCAAATCAAAGTACTATAGACTGGCCTGGAAACTCTCCTGATTTAAAATCCAATCGATAATCTGTGGTCAATCTGCAAGTAACGACTTCGTGGAATGGACATACGATGTACTAACATGTGCACTGGGTCATGTTTCATTGGAAAAATATAAACAAGAAAGGAAATAACAGAATTATTCATTTTGTTTCAATTAATTTGCACAAGGGTGTATGAGTAACTGTATTTAAAATTTTGAAAAAATGCATTTTCCAGGCATTTTTTTCATTTGCTCTTGCTACAAATTTACTGCAAGCATCTGAAGTCATTGTTTGTTGTTTTTTTTTCCCCCCTCAAGAATCGACAACAAAAATGTTAACCCCTTTATTTATTAGACTATTTAATTACTTTAATTCTTTTGTTGGTAATTTTCAAGAAAAAAGAGGAAAAATAAATATAGTAATCTGTTTTTTTTTTTTTTTTTTGCAGTTCCATATATTTTAATATTTGCTCAAATCTATGATCTGAATTTATAAATGATTCTTCAATATGCTTAAAGGTCATCTTTATCCCCAGTGACAAAAGGACAGTCTTGTTTACTTTAAACAAAATTGGAGAAATCTACCTTTTTTGTAAGTTATATGCTTGATTCTCATGAAATCATTTAATAATTTTCAACCTTTTTCCCTTGCTTTTTTCAAGATGGTTGGCATTCAGAGTAGAATTCATGAGCAACCTGATTGTGTTTTTTGCCTCTGTATTTGCTGTCCTCAACCGAGATACACTCAGTCCTGGAAGCGTTGGCCTTTCCATCAGTTATGCTCTCAGTGTAAGTAATAAGAATATATATTCCTTTAATTCCCATTATTAATCTCTTTTTATCTATAATTAAATCCTCAAAGGAAAAAAAATACTTACCTGGAAATTATTGAATTTTCTCTACATTATAAAATTCTACAATTTATCTTCTAAATAAATATTTGGCAAATTCTGTCTGTCGGATTGAAAATCTGCCTTTCATCTGGTGCTTGAACATCCAGTGCTGGGATTTGTATCCAGATGAGGAAGGAACAGTTAAAAATTCAAATTTTAAAAATACTGAAAAAATTAGCAATTTTAAGTTTTTTTAATTTATATTATATTGTTTAAAGTAGCAGAAAAACTTTGTGAATTTAAAAAAATTTGTTTCTGCTTGGAGATAGATTAAACTGAATTATTTTAAAATATCTCCAGAACTTTGTGATTTGAGGAAATCAATTTTATTTCTTCAAAATGCCAAGGAATCAGAATTAAAGTGAGAAGTTTTGTGATGTGAGGTTCCACTGAGATTTGTGATTTGAAGAACTCAGTTTTCAGCTTAAATTGGAATCTCTGACCAAATTGGTCTTTTGACCAGAATTGAACTTATGGCCCAAGTTAAAGTGAAGTTTTGTAGTTCTATGGAGTGAATTGAGGAATTCAAAGTTATTTCTTCCAATTTATCATTGCCATTTTCTAAGCTGGACATGAGGTTCTTTTAGTTTTGGGCTGGGGGCCCAATTAGGCATTCACAACACAACCCCACCCCACCCCACAGGGCTGCACAGAGTGCAGCTTTTAAGCTAGTAAATAATATTTAAATATTAAATTTACAAACATTATAAACATGAAAAAAAAACGTGAAAAAATATTTTTAAAGGAGCTATTTTTCATAATGTGGTATAGAAATTTTAAATTATTTTTAATTTTTGTACTAAAATGAAAATTTTGGTGAGATTAAAACTAATAAAAAAAAAAAAAAGATCAATATTAAAATTGATACTGGTTAAACATCTTAAAATTTTAAATTAAATTTTAGATTTTCCTTAAAACCTAAATAATATATGATTATAAATTATATTTGAAGTATTCATTGTTTTCTTTAATTGTACATTATTTATTGATTTTATTTCTTCTTCTCATCAAAATTTTGATTCATTTTTATTTTCCTTTTTAATCCCCAGATTTATACATTTTAATAAATTTCCTATGTGCAAATCTCTTTGATTTGTTCACATAAATTCTTAAATTTTCTATTATCTGTTCAACTATTTCAAATTGATCACAATGCTTTGTGCAGCAATGTTACCATGGTAATGTCTTTTCCTTAGAATTTCCACTTGTTTTGAAAATGTTCACATAAAGTAGCAAAACATCAACAATTAAATAAAACAAATTCTTCAACCTTCAACTGGTTTTCAAATATTCCATTTTTACATAGTGTCAGATATTTCACATCAACCATCATCTTTATTTACACTATTTAAAATCTTACTATTGTCCTTATCTTTGTTGTTTTTATCACAACATTTTGGCCATTGTGCCCTCCAGCCTTCATCAGGTTTTATATCAATCTGGGTAACCTACAGGGCATTTCCAAACTGAACCCTTTATTTAATCTACAGGTGTAGACTGTTCTCGTTCTCATCTCCACCGAACCTGAGTACAGACTGCCCAGCCCAGGGATTGAACACACAATTACTGTCACCAAATTCATGAACCAATAATTTAAATGGTTAGGCTATTATCCCATAGGACTGAGCTGTACTAAAAATAAGAATTAAACAAGATATCCCTAGACATGGTCAGTGAAACAAGAACAGTCTACCCACCATAGATTAAATAAAAGAGGTTCTAGTTTGGAATTCAAGATAGATTGATATAAACCTGATGAAAGCCAAAAGGGCACAATGACCAAAACATTGTGACAACAAGAAAAAAAATGAGGACAATAGTCCAGTTGTAAATAGTACACTCCTCATCCCAGAAATTCAGACAGTAATGATCTGATGTTATAGAATAACCTGCCACGCCCATGAATGGCGGCACTATAGGTAGTAACCACCTATAAGTATCCATGAGGACAGCAGACGGGAGAGTCGAGATGGAGTCTGCGAGACTAGCGGCCTTCTGATAGCAGCACACACTTCCTTGCTTGTTGTACTGATTTCTACAATAAACCTGTTACTATTTATCCACCGTGTTTGTCTATTCCATATTCCTGTTCGCATGGAATATAACATGATTATATTTTCTTTATTTATTTATTTACAGATAACTCAAACTCTAAATTGGCTTATTCGTATGACTAGTGAATTGGAAACCAACATTGTTTCTGTAGAAAGAATTAAAGAATATTCTGAAACACCTACTGAGGTAAATTCCTTTTTTTTTTTTTTGCTTTTTTATCTTTTCGTATAAAATAAAATATATATATATATATATATATATATATATATATATATATATATATATATATCAAGTATAGGATTGGTGTATATGGAATAAATTCTAATAACCAACAAATACTATTCTTAAAATAGTGTTCAATACACAGCAGAGCAAATGTAATTATTTATTCGAAAATATAACATAAATGTTATAATTTTCAAAAAAAATATATATATATATAATACAATTAAAAGGTTTTCACTTAGCTGATTGATGTTATTTTCAGCATCCGACACCATTTCATAGATGGACCCACCAGAAATCACTTGTCAGAGGCATCAGCAATTAACTGCTTATACTTCTGGATTTTTCATTTTTATATGCATTTTTCATTGGTGCAAATTTGTTTTTTCATCTGCACATATATGCATATGTATAGAATGTTGTGGTTATTTGTCCTTTTCTATTTCACTTTATACTCACTCCTTAACCTTTTCTCTCAATTGTAACCATTTTGTCTTACAGTTTTTCCAGATATATGTGGTCGTGTTTCTATATGTATAAACACACAAACTCCTAACAGCTTCAGAAACATATGCAATCTATGCCTGGAAGGAAAAATTTAAATAATTAAATACAAAAATACAAGCCAGTTATTGAACCAGAGAAATGAAATAATATTTAAATGTCGCCATAAAAATAAGTTCAAATTGTCTTAAAAATAGACATTTATTTTGCATCAAACACTAAAAAAAAATATGTTTATAACTTTATATGTCATGCATATAATGTGTTTATAAATGTAATTAATCATTTATCTGGTTGTCATGGATATGCTTACATGATAGGTAATTTTTATTACTTTTATTATTTATTTAATTTTTCAACATTTTTTTAAATATTATATATTTATTATTATTACGATGATGATGTTTAAATGAATAATAACATAGATTCCATTTCCATGAATTTTATTACTGGTTGTTGTTAAAGGTTTACCTATCAAATCTTCCTCTACCTTCCCTTACTCTGATATACAAACTTCTTTTTTCTTCCCCCACTTCTCTCTCTTCAATAGTGTACATCCTCCCACAAAGTTTTTTTTTATGGTCAGATTAAAATCTCTACTTCATTTTTTCTTTTTTTAAATGTCTAATTTTTTCAAATTGTCAGGCTAAATTTATATCATTTAACAAAAAGTAGTTGATCTGATGAGGTATATATATATATATATATATATATATAAAACATAATTTACCTATTGGAATGCACAATATGCCAGAAACAATATATGGGAAAATGTGAATGGCCCTTTCACTACAGAATTAGTAATTATATAAATTGGATCAAGTTGGCTCCCCACAAAAGATTATTACCTGTAGAACATTTCCGCCTATAAAAACATGATTTTAAAAGCCATGCAAAATTCACTATAATTGAAAAAATAGAAATAGACAGAAAAGATAACCTTAAAAAATATTAGAACATAAAGACAAATGGATTTTGTGCCTCAAAACACTTCATCCATATGGGCTTAACCACAAATTTGACAACATAGATAGAATTACTATATAACCCCATAAATCAGGCACTACCCACATTTCTCACCCTCACAAGACGGACATGCTTGCTGAAGTGTTGGGGTCTCACACTTATACACACACCCTTACTAATATATATATATATATACTTACACACATCATACATCTTCCCATGGAACTAAAAGATAACATACACTCAACACACACATATCCCATTCCCAGCAACCAATAACACTGTCAAAAAGACTAAAAAGGGAATTCTGAATCACATGAATCTCTCCAGCTTCTATCTTAAAAAGAAAAGAGACCATTTAACCAACACAAGGATTGGCCAAAATTAACGTTAACAAAATAAATGAAAACTACAGATAAAGTTCATTTTCTTCCTAAACAGTCATTCACTACTGTAATTCACTGCTAGTAACAAGCAGAAATTTTTTTTTTATCCTGAGGATGGCCATGCAGGCTGAAACTAGTCAAGAATCTAATTGAAATAATAAAACAAAAAATATTAATATGCAACCCAGTGTGTCTGAAAAATTAATTTTTTTTAATATTTTTTATTGTTCAAAACACACACACATATATATATATATATATATATATATATATATATATATATATATATATATATATATACACACACATCATGCTGGCCAATAAAAGAATACGTAAGAAATACCAGGAATTGGTCGAAAGGTGCCAGCAAAATGGTTGGAAAACTCACTTCAATCCGATAGAAATGGGGTGCAGAGGTTTTGTGGAATACTCACAGATCAAAGCATTAATGAAAATTGGAATCGTAGGAGCTACAAAAAAGAAAGTACTGAAAGAAAGTTCAGATGCAACTGAAGAAGGATCCCATTGGATTTGACTGGAAAGTAATGATCCGTGGATTAAAGAATAAGTCCGTTCATTGAATGAAACATTTTTTTTCTTTTTTTTATTTTTTCCTTAAGTAAATGTAATGTAGTCTTGACTTTGAGAATTTTTGCAATTTTTGGCAATGCTATCCTTGCCTGAACTTTCTTCATTTTGATATCAATATCAGAACTGCTCACCCACCCCCCTACATACCTGAAATCTGTGTCCAACTTTGAGCCACTGATTGGTCTTTGTCAAACATCAACCTTTTGGCAGGTCATTGAACTCTGGTTTCCTTTACATTAACCACTAAACGAGTTTTTTTTTTCTGAGACATGATTCACAGTTGTACTTGTTTTTCTCATATGTTGAAATAATCATTAGATGAATTACTGAGAAATGAATATTAACTATTATCACTAAAACTAAATATTTATATTTATTTCTTTGAAATACATCATTAATGTGATTTTTTGCCTTAACTTACTAAAGGTCCTGATTTGTGTGTGTATATATATATATATATATATATTTAGTATTGATAAAATTGCTTAGCATAAACAAATTCTGATTCATTTTCACTTGATGTATTTAAAATTCAAATAATCTTATGGAATCCTTATTTTAATGGCCTCTGTTTAAATTTTTTTTATTTATTTCTTCTTTTAGTTTAAGTTTTGTAAACCATTTTTAAGGGTCCATTTCAAACTATTTGAAATAAATCTGTCTATATTTCTGAGATGAGGTATTATGTACACTATTTACATTATTCAGACCATTGTCCTCATCTTTGTTGCCATGTTTATCACAATGTTTCAGCCATTGTATGCTCCAGCCTTCTTCAGGTGGTTGGAATGTCGAACTGAACCCTTTATTATGAATGCAATATGGGAACCAGTAATAAGGTGTGCCAGAGAAAAGTGATAACAGCAAAAATTGCAATTTGAGCACTGGTAAAAAATGGTTGCTGAAGACATTAGGTTTATAATACCCAGAAATTCATACACACATGTCCTCAAGGACACATGGCACAGTGGATAAAGGCGTTAGTTAGATCCAGTGACAGGACCCAAAGAGTGTGAGTTCAATACTTGGTTAAGGCAGTAGACAACTTGGAGAGGAGGAGATAACTGACATCCATTAGACATGGTACATGGAACTAAAACAGTCTAACCCAGCGAGTGAAATAAAGGGTTCCGTTCGACATTCCAACCACCTGAAGAAGGCTGGAGTGTACAACAACCGAAACGTTGTGACAAAGATGTGGACAATAGTGTATTTGGAACAAAGGTAAAATAAAACCAGATATAGTTTGTTTGCAGAACAAATTCTAAGAGTACCAACTTTCAGCTTTATATTTTCTTAAGTATTAAATTTATAAAGTGCCAAATATTGACAAACCATAATTTTGGCATAAATTGGTCTAGAAAAAACATGGTTTAAAATCACATGTTTGTCCACAAAACAAAACAAAATTTTTGTCACATAATTTTCAGATATGTAAAAAATAGTTCTTAAACTGGTCTGCTGATATCAAGAAAATCAATACTGACATTCCTATAACAGGAATGAATACAGTTACTACATAAAAATAGTCTATTAGGTCATAAATGGCAAGAAAACTAATTTAGATACTGTAGTTGACTTTGTAAATGAAAAGCTTTCAAATTGGATAGCATATTTTTACATTTCATCCATTTTCAGGTCCTTACAAAAATAAAACTACATAAGTCACACCTAAGCTGTTTTATATTTTTGTAATCTGCAATAAACATTAATTATTGGACCAAGTTTCAAACATCTACATGCAAATATCCTTGGAGCTATAAATGTCAAAGGTTTGTTAAATGCCTTAGCAAAACAAAAAATGCAATTGTTCTGATTTTAAACTATTAAAGATTCAAATTTAATATTTGAGATTTACCAATAAATTTGTTCAAGGGACACCTGTACATTTTCCCAGATTTTTTCTGGGGTCACCTGTGACCATTGGTTGATTTGAGATGGAATGACCCATATATATATATATATATATATAATTTCATTAAAAATGACTAATAAGGTACTTCTGTCCTGATAAGTGCTTCCATTATTTTGGACACTTTTTGCAGTTGGAAGTACATGTTATATTTGTGTTCTCAACCAGGATGTTATATATAAAGGTTGTTACATTTCAATGCTGGTTTAAATGGACCCATACGGAGCTCTGAAAAAAGAAATGTAAGGTCAGCCATCTTGTTAAGTGGGGTGGTATGTCCTTAAAAAAAAAAAAACATAAAATCAAACCTTAACAACATCAACTATGAATACAGCCACAATGTACTGACCATATTCAAAAATTAAGAATACGTCTGCCTTTCATCAATTTGTACACCATTTAGAATAGCACAACCCAAATCCTTGAAAATGACTGATTAGCCAAAAAACACTTGGAACAAATAACCATTTGGATAATTTCTAAACTCACCATGTTCCAAAAAGAAATCTCTTGTTCACATGCAAGAAAAAACAATAAAAAAACTTAATAGAAGTATCTTGTCAGTTATTTTTAATGAAACATGTATTAGAGAAGGAATGCTGCTCGAATACACAACTATATATTGAGTGTGTGTGTATTTATATTTACTTTTCTTTAAATGGCATGTTTAACAATTCTGAAATCTTATCAAATCTTTTCTTTTTCTTCTGTTTGTATTTAGGCCCCAACAGAAATCCCGAACTACAAACCCCCTCCTGAATGGCCAGATAAAGGTGAAGTAATCTTCAGCAATTATGCCACTCGTTATCGAGAGGAAATGGATTTAGTTATCAAAGATATTAACTGCCACATTCATCCAGGTGAAAAGGTAAGAATTGAGTTTCGTTCTTTATTTCATTGACAGTTTGTCGTCTTTCTATTTACTGTTTGTGTCTTTAGACGAATTATTTTTGTTTTGTTTTTTCTTTTCATTTGTTTGTCAATGTATTTATTAAGAATTTATATTAACTTAGTTTTCTTTCTTTCTTTCCTGTTTCTCTTTTGTGCTCCGATTTAAGGGAGACTAAAAAAAACACCACTCCAAGATCTCTTGATTACTTCAGAATAAAGATTATGAACTGCCACTAAAAAAAATATAATTTTGTGTATTGACCTTAAAGATAAACTGTAAAACCTGATTACTAAATTGAATGCCATGATTCATGACTGACAATGGATAGAGCAGCCATTGTTTGGGCAAGTAACATAATTATGAGAAAGGGGATTAGACATGAACTCCCTCTCCCACATTATTTTCTTTCTATCCTTATTTAATGCCAGGGTTAGTACCCGATTCATGCCTCTCTTCAATACAGATAAAAACTGCTTCAAATATGAAAAGTTGCTTTGCAAATATTTGATATAGTCCAATATGGCTACATATTCTATTCCAAGATGCCAGGCTTTTCATGACAAATACTTGAAAGGTCTTTGTAAGAATACTGAAATAGCTCTTGCCTTATTTACATATGAGTAAATAGACTTGTATGTATCGTCAGTATTCTACTATGGGGGGGGTAATTCAAGTACAAAACCTTGAATCATATATGTCACAATGTATTTTTTCTTTCTTTTTTATTTTAATCAACAAGAATACCAAGAGTGTAAATCAATCTCCCTTAAATTATTAATACATGAGGCACAAAATTCTTTCTGTAATATTTTGTGACTCAACGAGCATTTGTTGCTACTTTTGTAATATCAATGAATACGAATTGTCACTTTTGTAATGCTTATTGTAGTAGAGACTTTGTAATCACAGATACAACTATAGTAACGCCATTGAACAATACTGGTGTCAGACGCCTTCGAGTAATCTCATACTATAGTACTTGCTCGATAATACTTGATCGGAAAGTAACCTCCGAATAGTAATCCATATAGTGATCAGTATATAGAATAGTGTAGAAAAGAGAATAGCAATCCGTATTAGGAATAGAGGATAGACTAGAAATGGCGATCAATTAGGCACCACACTAATTCCCATATATGCATTTCCTCTATGGTCACATGATCCACTTAATTCAATAATGGGATTGCCTGTGTTTGCTCACTGGCAATCTATGTTCAAACTCAAGGGTCGGCAGTGACACTTTATTCCTATATATCATCATATAATACTGCTGGTGAAAAAAAAAAAGGATCCCTGTATTTTATTATTAACATAATGTAATATTTATAGCATTGTTCTTGAGTCATTTTTTTTTTTTCCCCCAGGACTACCACCTCAATAAAAATTCAAAAGGAACATTGTAACCTTTGAATAACTACTTTTTTTAATCCCTCAAGTGCTATGTCTTTGGTGCATGTTTATATATATATATATATATATATATATATATAAACATTTAACAGAACTTCTGAGATTTAAAAAAATTTGTTCCTACTTTCCATATTTCCAGATTGGTGTGGTTGGTCGAACAGGAGCTGGCAAGTCATCCTTAACCTTGGGTTTATTCCGCATCATCGAACCTGCTTCAGGCATCATAACAATTGATGGACTTGACATTTCCAAAATGGGTTTGCATGATCTTCGATCCAAATTGACCATCATACCACAGGTGAGATAATAGTTATCGTTAGCATCACAAAAATATCTCCTCATTCTCAGCAAACTTACCATTCAGATAAACCATTGAACTAATGCTATTTCAAAGTTGATGGCTTTATATTTTCTATCTTCTAAATAAACAGCAAATTCTGTCTGTGTGTCTGAAACTCCTCTAACTCAGGCTCCACTTGCTCAACATCAACATATATCTTTTTGAAATCAGGATGATCTGAGGATTGAAAGTCTACCTTTCATCTGATGCTTGAACATCCAGCATTGGGATTTGTGTCTGGATGAAGAGGGAATAGTTAAAAATTCAAATTTTAAAAGTAGCTGAAAGAAATTAGTGATTTTAAAAGGTTTTAATTTATACGGAGTTTAAAGTAACAAAAACTTTGTAAATTTAAAAATGTTTGTTTTTAAATTCAGTTTAAAATATCTCCAAGACTTTAAATTGAGGAAATCAATTTTATTTCTTCAAAATGCCAAAGAATCGGAGTTAAAGTGAGATGTTTTGAAGTTCTACAGCGTTTGTGATTTGAAGAATATATATAAGCTACTTGTTGATTTTTTTTTTTTTTTTTTTTTTTTTACTTGAATTGGAATTTTGGCCCAAAGGAAACTTTTGGCTGTAAGTGGACTTATATCCCAGATCAGAGTTAAGGTGAGATTTTGAAGTTCCATGGTGTGAATTGAGGAAGTTATCATTGCTGTTTTTCTAAGCTGCACCAGTCCTTTTAGTTTTGGACCAGAGGCCTATTTAGCTCTCCACAGAACCTAACTTAAAAGTCTGCACGGAGTGTATCTCCTAAGCTAATTAAGAATAAAGAAGATCCTTTATTTTATTTTTTTTGTCTTTATTCTTCAAATTTTTATTGCCTAAGTTGGCATTTTAAGTCAAGTTTCATAATCAACAAAAAACAAAACAATCCATACAATATTTATTTTTTATTTGCTGAAGTATTATCGACTATTATTAATTTTGTACAAATATTTTCTTTAATCTTAATTCTTTTTTATTTCAATTAAATAATAATGTTACTATCTTTTTCTATATCCCTTAAAGGTGCAGACGATCATGGCTCACCACAAATTCCTTTTCTTTATAATTGCCAATGCCATCTCTCTTCATGATCTAGGCATTCATGGCTCTCCACAGATACCTTTTCTTTATTATCTGTGACTTGCCATGGATTCTTGGGAAATATAGTGAAGTGGTTTGCCATGGTTTTGAATTCAGGATAGTTCTTCTCTACTAATACTACTGATACTAATATTACTGATATAAAAACACATTACTAGGAGAAATCAAGAAAGCATGAATGGTAGGTTTATAGGTTAGATTTGATCCTCTACAAAGCTGTCAAGTTCTTGTAGCTCACTTGTTAAAAGTAGCCTTAGTTTTTAACCAGACATGAGTTTTAAGTCTTATTGAGTTTGTTTTCTTTTTTTTACTTTATTTCTAAGCTGTTCTGTTTACATGGTTAAGTTATAATAAAAAGCGGCTAAAGAGAATGAAGGCGAACATTGATAAAAGTTAAATAATCAGTTGTTTGTGAAGAATAACACTGATCACTTTCAACGTCTCATGAGGTAGAATTTCCATATTTTATAAGATTGCTGTACATTTTTTTTGTGTGTATATAGAGAAAGAAAAAAAATTGTTACACAATGTGTTGACTACTTCTCTAATTAATATATAAGGTCTCTACAAGAATATTCTACATGAATTAATGGTGGTGAAAAAGTACATTCACAAAATAACAGAGACCAATTGATTTGCAATGCAAGATATAATATTTATTTAAGAAAACAACAAAAGGAAAATTTAAGACAAGAGTTTCTTTTGCTAGAAATAAATTGCATACACAACAAAAATGTTAATGAACGTATTTGAGTGTGACTTACCTGTGTAGGTGTGTTTGTGTGTGAAGCATCCACAACCCTTTTTTGGTTCAGTGAAAAGTTGATGGCACGCAATTTGAAAAGAGGAAAAACAGGAATAGAGAGTTACTTAAAGGTTCGCTTGCTTTTTTTTTTTACCCTCAGGGCTGCTGCTGGTGATATGTTTATTAAGGTACTACAAAGGGAAATCTAAATTAAGATTCTATGTTTAGTAAGGCACGACACACAGAACCACATTTATCATTTCTTTAAAATTATGACATCATCGTCACTTTGGCCATTTTAGTGGCAACATGTCATTAGATTGATTAAAACAAAAAAAATACTTTCAATTAGATGAGCAGGGAGATCTATTCTGTGTTGGAATGTGTCACGAAAAAATAAACGATTTTGTCTCTTTCTCTCCTGCTGTCGTAGCGACGGACACAGTCTCCACTTCTGAGACTGAAAACTACCCTCCTTCTCATTCCAGCCCTTTACATAGAGCTTGGTAACTCACCTATGCAAAACACCAACAAGCCAGCTACCAATCACAGTTCCTGCGCCTGCCCACCTCCACTCACTTTGGGGGTTTCAAGTTGACTGACCGACTCATTACATATTCATTTCTGTCTTAATTTAGGGATAAGAAATTATTATTTATGTGCAAATTATTGTCCTCACCTTTGTGACACCCACTGGCGGTTGCAGCACCAATATGTGACGTCCTCTGGTCGCAACTCCAATATGTGACACTGCCCGTGGTCAACTCCCAGTTGCGGTGCGAAGCTGTAAGGTTTCTTCCACCAGCGTTTGGGGTTGACTCATTGTCGCTGCCACCAGCCTGTGTCCCGGTCGATCTGGTCATTCCTGGTTCGATACCAGCTTTGTTGTTCCCAGCTCACTTCCAACATCTGGTTAACAGTAACTACTTTGATCTCAAGTCTAACCTACCCACGTTGTGACTTTGATCTTAGGTAGACGAAATCAATCAGGCGTCGGGCCGTAGTGCAAGCTGAATCCGGGGTATAGGTGATATCGTACAAGCGTAAGTAAAAGAAGCAAGAAAACAAACTCAAGAGGTTCAAATATGTTGAGAAATAACAAATTATTTTTATACTGTCTGTTAAATACAGGAGTGTTTCTCTCCCAGGCTGTTTCTATGGATTTGTGACACTTTTGCGTTTCTTAAGCAAGTTTTGGTATCTTAAGTCGTTTGTCAATATAACTTGCTTTTTGGTAGGAAGTCGAAGTCGGAAGGGCGTGGAATTTCTTGGTCAGCTTCTGTGAGGCAACAGTCTCCAACTGCAACTGACTTCAACTGTGCAAACTCTACTGCCAAACTGACTCAAACTGCCCAAGACATTCGTTTATATGGATACCGACCAAAACCCGGTGTGGGGCCTGACGTGGTTTGGGTTCCTCGATAATTCTCGATTCCCAGCAAGAATTCTCTTTGTTCTTAGGCCAGGAAAATTAATTACTTCCCATTTTTGGAAGCTTAATCACTTTCCATTTTGGGGGTTTCTCCCTCATCCATGAGTGAAGGTCGGAGGAGAGTTATCCTCCTAGACTCTTCCTCTCTCACATTAGTATCTCATACCAATCTCCACAGTGGGTGTTAACAACTTCTCTGTCTTTCTCATACATTCACCTCTGCCTATCACCCATGCTACCACTTGACCAATGATCTCTCGGCAGTGTGGGTGTGGGTAAACTGGCCCTCTTAAAATTATTATCCAGGATTTTGTTTACAAAATCCTTTTTTTTTCTTTTCTTTCGCCCAAAACATTTTTTTACAAACTCCAGATTGCCAAAATAATTCTTATCACATCTTTCTTTTGGGGACACCCAAAATTCACTTAGTCGGGTCTCTCTACCGACTCATCAATCACTGTCAAAACCTGGGTTTTTTCTGCTAAGTCAACTTTTAGCTGGGAGGTCTGTATTTTACCTGAGAATTAAATTCTTTATTTTTCTCATGCCTTAAGATCCTCTTATCACCAAATGCCCATTTTCGACGACATTGTGTCTGATGTCAACAGTTTGAATAAGCAATGATAATACAATTTTCTTCCTCATGCCAGAATTCTAACACACACCAGATGGTTTCCTTCGTTCAACCAAGAAATTAAAATTAAATGATATCTCTGAAAGATAACTAATATCACTTCTCTCTGCCGCGGTGGTCCCAAGCCAAAATTTTTTTATGGCTGCATGTGTCAGTTGGCTTTGTTTTTCTTTCTGAATTCTGTTTCCCTTGGTGTGTCACTCCCTTAACATGACATTAATCAATTTTGACAGAATCTCATATCTTGCTTTTTCTTACGAATTTTCTGTTTCGTGCGAAAAGTATCTTTCTTCATAAATAAAATAAAATCTTTTTTTAACGTCGATCAGTCTATCTTTCGATATAGCTCTTTCTCGCCTTAAGTCTTTCCTGTTTTTAATTTCTATGGTTAATTAGTCAGCCAAATAGTGTCACACTTTTGTTGTTGTTATTACATTTTGGCAGTTGTAGCCATCATCCTTCATCAGGTGCTTAAAGGTTACCTGGATCAACAAGCATCTGATTATGGCTGGAGAGCACAACGGTCAAAACAGTTTTACAACAACTAAGATGAGGACAATGGTCTCCATGTAAGTAATGAGACCTGTCAGTTTGAATGTTATCTTTAATGGAAATCAGAAAAATTATTAAATATCACAATTATTAAATTAAATCACTATTCACATGAAAATATTACTAAAATCACCAACAAATATAAAGCTCCTTAACAATGCCAAACAAAAAGCTTCACAGACCTCAAAAAGCATTTCATTTATAGAACTTAGCCAAATTGGAAATATCCACCTGTAAACAAGAGGTGAGCAGGTTTCATAATTCAGCAAATAGAAAGGTCACATGCTTTACAGGTCATCAATCTTTGATTAACAAAAGTTATGTTTTTCAGTTACTTTTATTGTTTACATTTGGAAATTGTCTGACAGATTTTCAAAGAAATCTATAAATATCTTCTTAAAGGACCCAGTGCTTTTTTCTGGAACTCTACGAATGAACCTGGATCCATTTGAACAATACGATGATGCCAGGGTTTGGGAAGCATTGGCACATTCTCACCTGAAAGAATTTGTAAGTTCTCAAGCAAAAGGATTAATGCATGAATGCACAGAAGGAGGAGAAAATCTCAGGTAAGATTATAATAAATATTCTGTATTATAAAGGAACGACGTAAACATTTTGCAAGTGGATTGACAACCTAAGTCACTTAAAGCATTAGAAAAATAGTATTAAGGTTTCAGAATCAAAATGAAATATTATTTCATGTAGTAACCCATTAACCATCCAACAAACAGAGAAATCCTGTTATAGAAGTTCACCTACCTCCTTTAAAATTTCTATAAAAACAACATTATTAGCAAGACATCTATTTTTATTATATTTTATTCTAAAAGTCTATATAAGTTTTATACTAAGAGTGTTTACAATATTTACATTATTCGGACTATTGTCCTCATCTTTGTCGCCATATTTATTACAACGTTTCGGCCTTTCAGTATCTGTCTATATTTCTGAGATGAGGTATTATGTACACTATTTACATTATTCAGACTATTGTCCTTATCTTTGTTGCCATATTTATTGCAATTTTTGGCCATTGTACACTCCAGCCTTCTTCAGGTGGTTGGAATGTCGAACTGAAGCCTTTATTTCGCTCACCAGGGTAGACTGTTCTAGTTCCATGTTCCATGGATGTCAGTTAATTCCCCTCTGAAAGTTATCCACTGCCTTAACCAGGTATTCAACTCACACTCTCTGGGTCCTGTCACTGGATCTAACTAATGCCTTTATCCACTGTGCCATGTGTTCTTGAGGACATCTGTATATGAATTTCTGGGTATTATAATCCTAATGTCTTCAGCAACATTTTTTACCAGTGCTCATATTGCAAGACATCTATTTACTAAAACTCTTTGTCTTATTCTAAGTCTACTTGAATTTCCTACTGTAGAAATAGCTACATAGATCAAATCATAAGAGAAACATTGGAATAATTTTTAAATGTTTATATTAATAATAATAACAATAAAATAATTCACTAAACTTATTCATTTATCACTGAAGTAATTCAATTGTGGCACCTTGCATTATTAGAAATATTCATAGAAATATGATTTAATTTTTTTTTTTACTCGGTTTACTAAACAGGTTGTTTTTTTTTTTTTTTTTTTTTTTTTTAAACGGAAAATAATTGAGTTGAAAATAATTCACTAAGATTGTACTTAGACGATCCTAAGGGGAGAAGAGGAAAGAAGAGAAAAAAAGGAAAAGAAGGAAAGAGAGGTCAAGAAATGCAAAAAGCGGTCATTAACAAAAACACGTATCAGAAAGGTATTTAGGTCAACATCTTGGCCGATTTTCGAGAGACAATGAAAAGAAATATTATTTAGAAGGGAAAGTCATTTTGATAAGAATGTCGGTTGAGCGCATGACCGACTTTTTTGCGTAGAAAGACTCATTATCAATTTGGAGTAAAGGGAAATTTTAGAACAATGGGAACGAAATCTTAATCTGGAGAAAGGGAAATATTAGAACAATAGAAACGAAATTTTTTTAATCGGAGAAAAAGTGTCTTTTGGGTTGAGGGGAGTGACCGATGGAACTATATACAGATTCTGACCTATTAGGAATTGGAAACCCATGATAACAAAGTGGGGACATTTTCAATGTAGATAATTAAGATTTTCTGACTGTCGGGTCTGACAAAAACAAGAGGTGAAAAAACGATTGTCTCAGTTCACAGATAGCGCCAATATTCTTCCCTGAAGTCACATCTAATTAGCGGCGGGCTGTTTTGACAGAGCCCAGGTGAGAAAAAGCCAAGATTGTCATTTTTTCGTACGTGCAAAAAGGGCAAAATTGGATTTTGTTTTTTTTTAAAACAAGAACGATGTAACCACGCCCGAAAAGAAGAGAAAGGACGCTCGATCAAGAACCATTGGTCGGAAACGGTCACGTGATCTGCGGAAAAGAAGAGAAAGAAGTGCTCGATCAGGAATCATTGGTCGAGAGCGGTCACCTGACATACGAGGGACCGGGAAAGATGGGTGTGCGCCTCCCCACCAAAGGCACTGTGAGGAAGTAGGGGTGAAAACAATAGCGATAATGAGAAGACAGAAATAATGCGACTTTTGGAATTATCGAGAAAACCCTGACGCCGACAGACCCACCCCAGTTTGTTGCGGCGTCAATAAAAGCAGGACCCCAGTCGACAGAAATCAGTTGGAGTGGAGTTGCAGCTGGACCGCGGACAGGGATAGAGCCTGAACGCGGGCATCAGGCCCGATTCACTCGCCCCTTTGCGGGCAAGAGAATCCTCAGACAAGAAATCCTTCCACCCAAGTCGAAGACAGAAGAGTTCAGCCCCGGACGGCAGCGAAGAGATCACCTCGGACGACAGAGAGTTGCGGCTGACTGAGTTGCGGCAAGAGAACTTCCAGCCCAAGCAGACGAAGAAGAAGATTACTCGAGAGCCGCAGAGAAGTTGCAGCCAAGTCGAAGACAAGAGAACTTCCAGCCTAAGTCGACGAAGAAGAAGAAATACAACTCAAGTCGAAGAGAAGAATCAACTACGAATGATCGATAGAAATTAGCCCCAGTGTCGAACCAAACCACACTCCGACATACACAATTCTAAAGAGTAGGCAATTCGAAATCTTTAGGTTGTGTGATAGAAGCTTGTGCCATAGTCCACAGAGCGGGTCGGGAATTGAGAACAATTTTGTTTTTATGTAACGGACATTAAGATATAAAAAGGTTGTTACTTTTTTTTTTTTTTCATCAGCAATCTTTTTTGTCTCGTGAGTTTTTCTCTTTTATTTGTGTTTTGCCACCCTCGTCGGACTCAACTTGTATCGGCCCCAATCCCTGCTGGTCCCGTCTGTCTAAGATCTAAACACAGCGTGGGTAGACAGACCGGAGATCGGTACAGTTGCTTTAGTGACCAGGTATTGGAAGCGAGTTGGGAAAGGCGAGGCTGGTGATCATCCAACCAAGGGGTTGGAGCGGCACGCTTGGAACCAGGAGGAGCGACGTCACAGTTGGCGCCGTAACCAAGGGATTCGACCCTGGGCCAGGTGTGTAACCGTCACACAATACTAAACATTATTTTGACTTATTTAGATAATTCTATAAACTTTTTTGACTCTGTTGAAGTAATTTGTGAAATATTAAACATTTTCTAACTTAGAACTGAACTTTGACAAGTTAGATATAAATTCTTTTTATACCAAACATGAATTTAAACAAAAAAACAGAAACCTTGCATATTTGGCAATTTTTTAAAACTTCATTTTAAAATAAAGAACACAGATAAAATATTTATTATAATATGCTTTTAAAAATTGCTATGCAAATGAAATGTTACTTTACAACATAGACAAAAACTGTAAGTAAATCCTTGATATATTCCCCGTAAAAGCTGGTCTGACAAAATTTAGTCTTACATGAATTTATAAAAGATGAATGTTATTTTAATAGTCAAATTTGAAACTTAATTTCTAGCAAACCAGTTATTGTTGGCATCTCTTCATATTAAATATCAAGTAACCAATCCACACCAACATAATCTATGAAAAACAAACAAAAGTATATGATATAAATCTTACTTATTATAAAACACAGATTGTGTGTGTGTGTCTGTACGTTTATATATTGGATCGGATTTCCTACATTTTTCAACCGATTTCAACAAAACTTCACAGGACTGCGTAAAATTACCTTGCGGTGGTTCTGACAGCGCCAAAAATTGAAAAAACACAATTGTTTTTGCATGAAATCAATTTGAAAACATGATAAAACCCGATTCTGTTGCCAGAATGAAAGGGGGACAACTCATATTGAGTTATACTTAATATAAAACCCAGGTTGTTTGTGTGTGTGTGTGTTCATTTATATATGGGATCGGATTTCCTACATTTTTCAACCGATTTCAACAAAACTTCACTTTTTTTGGCCGGTAGCGTTTCTTATTGTCTTGCACACTTTTTTCTTTATTTTTACATTCAGAATGCTTTAAAAATTCCATTTACAAGACAATTGTTTATAATAAAATTCTATTCAATCGGTAGACTCATAACGATTGAAAACAATGTTTTTGTTTGACCAATTTGTAAAAAAAAAAAAAAAAAACTAATTAAGACATGCATGCACATCAAACTTAAACAATAATCTTTGTCAATTTTATTTTTCGGTCTTTATGATGGTCGATACTTGATCTATCTCTTACTGTTACATCCCCAGGCAATGCCAGGCTCTACTGCTAGTATTTAATAAACTTCATTTAATCCTTCATGGAGCCACAGTTATAGAGCATCAAATAAGAAATTCGATCATCCATGAGATTCACTTGTTATCACTTTTGACTTATAAGAAAAATAACTTTGCGGTCTATATAAATTCTTTGACTGCGAAGTAAATGCAAAACTGATGTTGTCATCAACTCACATCTCTGGAGCCAGTCTTTCAAGGATGATGCTATAACCATTTTGGCTAAGCAAAGTACAAGTTATTCTAACACTCACTAATTTCAAATTCACTCATGATAATAATGAAAATGCTTTTTCTAAGAATTTAGAAAAGAAAAAAAATAACTTTCAAATTTCTTAAACACAAAAAAATACGGTCCTGGCTTTAAACCAAATTCTAATCAAATCACAATTTCAACCACACAATATCAGTCGGATAATCTCACTGATGCCCTTGAAGATAAAAATTTCAGAAATTTGTAAGTAAAAAAAAAAAAAGAATAATTATCACCTTTTATCTATCATAATTTAAAATATTAATTTGTTTGATAAAGGTTGAACTTTTGTCATTGCACTTGATACAAAGAAATTAATTTTTAAATAGTCAAAGACTTAGATTTCACTTCATTATTTTCTTTGTAACGCTCCTTGGAATCATATTTTTTAATGTTCCTGTTCAGAATTTTGCCACTAACGTCCATTTCTTGGATGTAAACCGGCATCACAGAAATATCAAGTGAAAGCACAATCTTCTTAGTTCACTTCTGCCTGTCCATCCGCCATAGTCGACAGGAATCACATCTTCTGGTTATACTAATGCCACAGTTCCAATCATAACAGATGCCTCTTTGTATCTTCTCATAATGAGTTTAAGCTTGTCCTCAACAAGACATAGTCACTATTTGCTGATAGACTGAGAGACCATATAACCTCTTGCAAGTTTGGTTCTAAAGATTACTGGCAGCTTTATGAGAGTGCATGTTGAGCAAGAACAAATCCTTATTGCTCTCCTCTCTTCAGTTTGAAGAATTGTCATCTACTTCAGATAAAACAAAATGCTTCACTGAGAATTTCTCTTCCAAGTCCATTTTGAGTATCTTTACCTGATTTTATCCTTAGAACAAAATCTCTACTGAGTGATATGCACATTAGTCCATAGTTTCTGCTATCATCTCTAAACTAGATCCCCACAAGGCATGCAGACTTGACAGGTCCGAAAGAAATCTCCTCCTGAACTGGCTCCTGTTCTCTCTAAACAATCCCTTTCTGCTTTTTGTTTTCCAGCTTGTTGGAAATCCTCTTCTGTAGTTTCTAAGAACTCTGCTGAACCTTCTGACCCCTTGAATTTTCATCCTATTTTACACTATTTTGGCAAAGTACTAGAGACTCTAATCAATAATTAATTAATTAAGCATCTCACTTCACATGGCCTTCTTTTGAATAAATAGTATGGCTTTCATTTCACCAGGTCTACTGCCAATGTGTTAATGTTTAATACTGAATTTGTCTTTGAGGCTTTAGATAAGAATGGCATGACTTGGACTGTGGTTTTAGATATCTCAAAGGTGTTCAACAGGATTTGGCATGCTGGCCTTCTCCACAAACTCAAGGGTTATGTTTCTCTGGACAAATATTTGACTTCATCCAATCATTCTTAAATTGTGTAATGAATGTTGTGTAGAATGGCCATGCTTCTAGATCCTTTCACATTAATGCAGGAGTCCCCCAGGACCTTGGACCTAAATTGTTTCTTATCTTTATCAATGACCTTCCCAATGTCATCAGTTCCCAAATAAGTATTTATGCTAACAGCACAATTATTTACCCCCTCCCTGTCTTTGTCGGACCTATCAGACATGCTACTAAGTAAAACTAACAGCTACTCTCAAGAATTACCTCCATTCAGTTGTTAGCTGGGGCAAGGAATGGCTTGTAAATTTTAATGTTTCCAAAACAAAACTGATATCATTTAATCACCAGACACAACCTTTTCTTCCTTCCATCAGCATGGCTGATGCTAATCTCCACCTTAGGCTCATGGTTTCCACTGACATGAAGTGGAATTATTAAATTGAATCAATTGCTTGGTCTACTGCTAGGAAATTTGGTTCCCTATGTCATACCAGACAATTATTTTTGTCTTTTTTCCATCTTGCCCATTGATAAATCTACCATATCTTTAGATTCAGGACAAAATTCAAAGAAGAGTCTGCAATGTAATCGATCCTGACCTGGCATTTCGACTTCAATCGCTTTTCCACCATGTTGATGTAGCTTCACTCTGACATTTGTATAAATATTTTCATGGCAATTGTTTGGATTAGTTTTGCTCCTTGGTGCCTCAACAACATAAATTTAAGCATACTACATTAAAAAGACGTTCAACAAAGCACACCACAAAGATCTGTTAGGGCTGCTCAGCAACCTTGACATATTTGGGAAAGACATCAAAATAATCAAAAACCTCTACTGGTATCAAACCGCCTGCATACAGATAAAAAATGAGTTCAGTAGATCTACAAAAATAGAAAGGGGTGTAAGGCAAGTATGTGTCTTCTCATCAGACTTATTCAACT